CTCTCCTCAACAGGGAACACAATGGTGGGCAACCTTGGGTTCTACCAGCCTCCCAGTCTTTCCCACAGTGGCCTCAAACCCAAACACAGGCCAGAACCCAGGAAGAGGCAAGGCATGTTGTTGTGCAATTAATCTCCAGGACTCTTCATGTTGCAAAACATTAACTCTACCCATTAAACAACTCCCCATTTCCCCCTCCCTTCACTCCTTGGCAATCACCATTCTACTTTTTTTCTCTATGAATTTTCCAGCCAGGAATAGCTTTTATGTTCATTTCCTGGCCTGGAGTCTCTAGGATCACATGAGTAGTGTAAATTTGATCCCAAATCCAAAAGAGGGCAGATGTGTGGTTATACATGTCTCAGAGGAAGCCTTCCCCTTCTCCAACCAGACCCAGTTCAGATTAGAAAAGATTCCTTCTCTGCCTCTGCCAGTGGGTGAATTTTTTCTGACCTAACTTTCACTGGAAGCTTAAACCTTCAAAGGTCCCAGCTGCCTGTGGGGGTCTCCCTGATTCATGTAGGCTCAAAACTTTGGCCCTAGTCCCTGGATTATACAGACCAGTGAAGGGCCCTCAGGGAAGGCAAAGCAGCCTCTCTCTCTCCCAAATTCCTTTACAAGACTCTCCCATTATTTCCATGCAGCTAGCTATGCATAAGAAATGTGCTGGTTGTTCTGTATCCTAAGTTTCTGAATGTTTTTGTAGTGTTTTCCCACAAAATCATCAAATCATCCATCCTGCTGAAAAGAAGCCTCACTTACATTTCTTTTTCCTTGTATTGGTTTTTAGCTATAACTTTACATGGGGTTTTGCCTTATTTCTCCAATGAAACTAGAGCTCTGGTGTTCACCAGGTAAAGCCTCCAGTGAACACAGAGGAGATGCTCAGTGGAAACTAGAAGAATGAGGGAAAAGCAGCTAGAGCTCCCAGTCAAGGCTGGGGATGGCCACAGAGATGGAGCTCCCTCTGCTTCAGGGATGTTTGGGGCCCATAAAATCTGGGTTAATAATGTAGGCAGTGTCCACAGGAAGAAGTTGGAGCTATCTCGGCTTGAATAAAAGGACTAAAAGGACACTGATGATGATCATCATCATAACAGTTAATATTAATCACCTTATATCATTTAATCCACACCTCCCTAACACACACACATCAGTACCAGAGTTACGGACTCTTACCCTCACTTTAAAGACAAGAAAACCAAAGCAGAGGAAGTTCAACAACTTGCCCCAAATCACATAGCTAGCAAATGGGACAAGTATCAAGTCTAAATATGTGTGATCTCAAAGCCTGGTATAGTTTGCTACTGTCCTGCCTGTCCAAAATTGACTCCCGTGACACCCAGTTTCTTGGCTCCATACCAATGACCTTCTCTTTGCTGTCATGAGCATCTGCCATGTGGGCCTCATCTCCATGCCTTGTTCACTTTATCCCCACCTCTCCCTCCTCTGTCTTCTCTTGTCCACATTTTCCACCCTTCATTCTCTAGCTTAAGTCTCTACCCCTTCTCCCTGCCATGAAACCTACTTTAACCACTTTTGGCCAACTTTGATATATCCCTTCTGCAAACACTTAAAGCATTTATCATCCACACCATAGAGACTAGCCTTGAGCTATTCTGCATATGTTCTCTGGACCTCCTTCCGAGATCACCAACTAGCCTGTGATTTCCATAAGGGCAGAGAACTAAATCCCCTAGAGTCTAGGATGGTTCTGGGCATATAGTGCCTGCTTACTAGCCATTGATAGTGAGACATTGCACACTGAATGCACAATAGGGCTCTTAGTGTTACCATATCCCACTGATTCTAAAGCATACCTTTCCCCCCTCTCTCCAGATTTTAACCTCTTTGAAATCAGAATCTGTGGCAAATCACAGTTTAACTGACTTTTTTTCTTATCTTTCTCAGTGTCATCCAAGGAACGTTTCCCAGCTGCGGGGAGACACTGGAAAGCACCTGGCCCCAGCCAGCCTCTGCTCGGCCAGCTGGTCTGCTGGCCTCTATGCAGAACCACTTCACTGGGGCCTGGGACAGCCCCTCAAGTGGGAGGTCTATGGAGCCTGAGGCCCAGGATGTAGAGGTGGGAAGAGGCCTGCAGAGTGAGGGGTCCAGAAAGACCACTGCCCTACCCTGGTGTATCCCTTAGGACCCTGGGGAGCCCTAATCACCTTCTTCATCAATAAAATAGCACTACCCAGGCCCACTCCCAGGGTGACAGTGAGGGACCAGGAGGTAGTGGGAGAGGAATCTTAAATGTACACTACTCCCCCAAGCAGCAAGTGGCACTAATATTACTGTTATCAGACTAACAACTGACACAGAGCCACCACGGCAGCAGTGGAGAGAGAGAAAGATCTGAGCTTCTGAACACGTGACCTAACCTCTCCGAGCCTCAGTCTCCTCATCTGAAATATGGGAAAATAATAGGTCTTCACCTCTCAGACTATGAATTCCTTGAGACGGTGCCTAAACAGAGCTTAGCACCCCACCTGGCATGGAACTGTCCTTAAATGATAGCTCCTTGTGCCTTCATAAGGTGAATGCCCTCCCCTGCTAACTGGATCATTCTGGATAAATCACTGTCCCTGCCAGGGCTTCCTCTGTAATCCTGAGGACAGAGGACGCTACTCACTGCCACCATTAGGGACAGCACTTACTGACTTGCAGGTGCTAGCCTGGGAACTTGGACAAATTGAATCATGCGGACAAGGTCTTGGCAATCAGAGAGGTGGGTTGGAAAAAACACGGCTGCAAAAAAGGCAGAATGAACTCAACAGCTATAGGAAAGACTTGGAGCCCTGAAGAGAGTTGTCAAGGAAGGTCCCATTAACTGAAGGAGAAGGGAGAAGTGAGTGACAGGGAGCCTTGCTCCTAATCAAGGCCAGTGCTGTTTGCACAACGTTATCCTTGAACCCTGGAGACCTAAGCAGGTGGGGCCTGGCTATGCAGAGGAGCCAGCCAGAGGGAGGGGCCAGAGCTGTTAATCCCTACCTGTGAGAGTGTCAGGACCCTGGACTGTCAGCCAGGAGCAAGGTGGCAGAGAGTAGCCAGTTTGCAGAGGCAGATTTTGGAGATTTCCACCTAGCAGAGTGGGTGGGAGCCAGACTGCCTGGGTTCAAATGCCAGCTCCACCATCTATTGGCTGACCTTGTGCAGGAGACTTAACCCCTGGGCCTCAGTTCCCAGCTGTTAAATGGGGGTGACAGTAGTATCCACCATACAGGGTTGTGGTGAGTATTTGAGATCAAGCCCATTCAGCACTTAACACAGTGTGTACCCACAGTAAATGGCAGCAGCTATTATTACTGATTTTTACGAGAGGGCTGGTAGCAAGGCTTCCCACCTATCTGGCCTCTCCCTCTGACTTGGGTCCACGTTTACATAGGGCTGTTACTTATAATTTTGTCTGGACTGGATCATATCAGAGAGGCACAGAGCCTAAGAGACCCTCTGGCTTTACTCCCGCCTCATGCAGGAGTCTCCTCTGCAGCTTGCCCGCCTCTCCTTACATGCCTTCACTAACGGAGAACTCACCACTCCATAAGGCAGCTTGTTTTACATTCAGACACTCCGATCACTCACTAGGTGGAGCCAAATCTCCCTGCAAACTGCCCCTTAGTGATATTTCTGCCAGAGACTTTCCAATGTCTGGAATCCACCCATCCCTCAAACGCTAGGAACCCTCTGAGCAGGGCCTCAGTCATTCCCCCAGGAAGTCTCCCTTGAACCCCATCCTGAGCATCTTATGTAGAATGGCATAATTGCTCCCCACAGGAACACACAAATCCCCTCCAATGCCTGGGTCCATGAGGCAGAGTCTTGGACGTCCCCAGACCTGACATTAATAATAGTTCACATTCACTTGCCTTACACAATCATCACAAAAGCCCTGTGAGGCATATTCTACTTTAAAATTGTGGTGAAACACACATAACATAAAATCTTAACAATTTCTAAGTGTACATTTCAGTGGTATAAAGTACATTTACACTGTTATACAACCATTACCACCATCTATCTCCAGAATATTTTCATCTTGCAAAACTGAAACTCTAAATCTATTAAACAATAACTCCCCCATGCCTCCCTCCCCCGGCTCTTGGCAACCACCATTCTACTTTCTGTTTCTATAAATCTGACTACTCTTAGGTACCTCATGTAAGTGGAATCACACAGCATTTGTCTTTCTGTGTCTGGCTTATTTCACTTAGCGTAATGTCCTCAAGGTTCACCGTGCTGTAGTGTGCATCAGAATTTCCTTCCTTTTTAAGACTGAATAATATTCCATTGTGTATACATATGTATGTGTGTGTGTATATATTTTTGTTTATCCATTCATCTGTCACTGGACACTCTACTTGCTTCTATCTTTTTGTCTATTGTAAATAAAGCTATGAACATGGGTGCACTAATCTCTCTGAGACCTTGCTTTCGATTCTTTTGGGTATATACCCAAATCAGAATTGAGACTGCTGGATCATATAGTAGTTCTATTTTTAATTTTCTGAGGAATTGACAAACTGTTTTCCATAGCGTCTGTACCGTTTTACAATCCTACCAAAAGTGCACAAGGTTCCAATTTCTCCACATCCTGGCCAACCCATGTTATTTTGTTTTGTTTCTGCACAGTAACCATCCTAATGTGTGTGAGAGGGTATGGGGAGAGCCTATGTTTACCATACTTTACAGCTGAGGAAAGCGAAACAGGAGAGGAGCCCTGACTTGCCCAAGGTCCCACTGGCAGCACACAGCAGAGCTAGGATTTAAGCTCAAGCTGTTTGCGGCTGTCCAGTGCTCTCAACAGCCCCCATTCCAACAAATCCCTGATGTCCAACTGGTCAGTGACCACCCTGGGCCCCCCCAACATCCCCTGAGGTCCGTCCAAAGAGGCCTGGCCAGGGAGTGACCTTGAAAAAGAAACTCCCCACTGCTCCAGAGTGCAAGACTAACCCCAGTGTCAGGTGACCCTGCAATTAGTGTTTCAGCAAAGGCCTTACCATGCAGAGCTTGGAGGCGTCTTCTGGCTGGGTCTCCCTCTCACGGTGAGCTGGAGTAGGGGGGCCAGCCCAGGATCCTGATGAGGCTGATGAGGCTGGTGGTGTCTTGAATTATCTTGAGTGAGAGCAGGGGTGGCATAGGGCAAGAGCAAGGAGCCAATCTAGGCAGTGCAGGGCGGCCTGCAGACTCTCATATCTGGTGGAGCCGAGGCCTAGTGCAGCTGGAGCATGGGGTGGGGTCACGTGAAAGGTGAGGCCAGGCACACAAGGTGATCCAAGCAACTAGCAGCTGACGCAGGGTCGGGTGGATCCTCTGTGCTGCTTCATCCCACCTGTGTGACTATGGGAAGCTAGGAGTCTTCCCTGCACCTCAGTTTCTTCATCTGTAAAATGAGGGAGACTAAGTCAAACCTTGTAGGGAGCTGTTGGCATTAAATGAGCACCAGACACATGGTGCCTGGCTGAATAGTGGGCACCAACAGCACTGGCCACCACTGCCTCCTCCCTCACCTATCCCACACTTCTCTGCCTCTCACCATTAGAGGGCAGGCAGAGCCTTGAGATTAAATATCCAGCCCCCGAGGTGAATCTGAGGAGTAACACATTGAATGTATTAGTTCTGGTCTGATTCTTAGGGAAAAAACACCATACCAGTAATTCCTTCAGGTAAACAAAAGCATGGTCACAACGATGTTTGCCACTGTATTCTTTGTAACAGTGATAACTTGGTAGCACCTGAACTTCCTCTGTAGGGACTAGCTCGATTACCATTCTACCATGCAATGGGATCGTTAGTAGGTGGCCACTGTAAAGAATGATGAAGACCTATATTTCTTATCATTTCCATAATATACATCTGAGTCGGGGTGGGGAGGTTATAAGAGAAAATCAAGTATAGATGATCTCACAGGACAAAGTTGTGTGTGTCTATACATAGAGACCATTGACACTCCAAGTACATTTTCCTGATCAATAACAGTAGCATCACTTATGAGCCTGTTAAAAATATAGATTCTTGGGCTCATCCTGGGCCTTTGTAACCAGAACTTAACAAAATTCCGTGATTCAAGTGCAGGTTACAGTTTGAGAAGAGATGAAGTAAGGCATTGTCTGGAGAATTGCTCAGTAAAATATTATTAGGGCGTGGTTACCTCTGGGAATGGGATTGAGATTTTCTTTTCTTCTTGTGCTTTTCTGAACTGTTGGCATTTTAAAATAATAGGCAAGTCATAAAAATAATAAGGCTTATTAAAATGCTTGCAAAGGCTTAAGATCGAAAATTATAAAACTTCTAGAAGAAGAGCAAAAAGCTTTGTGACATTGGACTTGGCAATGATTTCTTAGATATGACACCAAAAGCACAGGCAACAAAAAGCAAAAATAGACAAACGGAATTGCATCAGTATTGAAAACTTCTGTGCATCAAAGGACACATCACCACAGTGAAAAAGCGGCCTTGGAATGGAAGAAGGTATTTGCAAATACGATGTAGAGTTAAAGTCCAGAATATATAAAGAACTTCTACAACTCAATAACAAAAAAAATCAAATAACCTGACTGAAAAATGGCAAAGGAGTAGGGAAGAGTGTTAGCTCAGTGGTAGAGTGAGTGCTTAGCATGCACGAGGTCCTGGGTTCTATCCCCAGTAGCGCCGTTAAAAAAAAAAAGGCAAAAGACTTGAACAGACATTTCTTCAAAGAAGACATACAAATGGCCAACAGGTATAACAAAAGATGTTCAATGTCACTAATCATCAGAAAAATACAAATCAAAACCACAGTGAAATATCACCTCACACCCATTACGACGACCACTATCAAAAACCCAGAAAATAACAAGTGTTGGTGATGATGTGAAAGAATTTGAGCAATTGTGTACTGTTGGTAAGACTGTAAAATGCTGCAACTACTATAAAAAACAATATGGAGTTTCCTCAAAAAAATTAAAAACAGAATTAACATATGATCCAGCAATTCCATTTCCAGGTATATACCCTAAAGAACTGAAAGCATGGTCTTGAAGAGATATTTGTATACCCATGTTCATTGCTGCACTATTCACAATAGCTAAAACATGGAACAACATAGGCATCCATTGACAAAAAAATGGATAAACAAAACGTGGTATATATACATATATACAATGGAATACTACTCTAAAAAGGAAGGAAATTCTGATGTAAGTTACAACACAGATGAACCTTAAGGACATTATGCTAAGTGAAATAAGCCAGGCACAGAAAGACAAATATGGTATGATTCCACTTATATGAGGTAACTAATAGACAAATTCACAGAAACAGAAAGTAGAATGGTGATTGCCAGGTACTGGCTGGAGGGAGAAAGGGGAAATTATTGTTTAACGGGTACTGAATTTCAGTTTTGCAAGATGAAAAAGTTCTGGAGGTCTGTTTCATAACCATGTAAATATACTTTAATATTTTTGAACTATACACTTAAAAATGATTAAGATGGTTATAAAAGCTTATGAAGAGATTTTAATGATCTGAGAAAGTAGGAAGACAAAGCAGCAGGAAAGTCCTGGCTCTTGGAAAAGAGGGAAGGGCAGGTGTGGCTACAGGGAGAGGAAGATTGAGATCTGCAGGTGATAAAGCCAGAAGAGGGGGTTTGGATGTGGTGAGAGAGTCCTGGACCAGAATGTGGATATTCTCATGCTATGACAGACAACACGCACCCAGAAAGCCTTAGAGCAGGGCCTGACCTTTCTGAACAGCTGCCAGGCAAGTTCACATCTCTTTGGCCTTTCAAACTCATCACTTTGATCTCAACTTTGCTAACTGTACTACATTCCTTCTCATCTACCTCTTCATCACCTGAAATGGCCCCAAGGGGGAAGTCCCAGTGGGTTCTCTAGGCATGACAATCGAGCCCTTCCTGGCTGAGCTGCACATACAGCACTCTTCTAGCAGTCCCTGGGAAGCTTGGGAGGTAGATTCCCAGGCTGACTACAGCTCTGCTCCCAGGGGACACCACCACCCAATTGTGGGACACGGCCCTCAGGCACAAATGTGCAGAACTGTCAGAGCCCACAACTTCCCCTGGGATTGTCACAGGCCTAGAGGCCACAGTTCTCAGACCTCCATGGATTTTCTCAAGGGCCAAAGGGCCAGACTCTCCACCTCAGACAAGATGACTCTTCCTCCCAAGGATAAGGCTGGGTCATGGACAGCCACCATGGACAGTGTTGCAGGGGTGGGGAGAGAAGAGGGGAATGTGGGCTCCAGAGACATTTTGCAGACACACAGAAAGAGCTGTAAGAAACCTGAATGCCCTGATCTCTCACCTGAGGCAGGAGAGGAGATCCACCTACTCTGGTGGTGGAAGAAATGGGACCAGAACTCCAGAACCCAGGGCCCCAACTCCCAGGCCAGGCTTCCCAACACCAAGCCTATCCTGAGAATCCCATTGTCTGCAATGATTTATCTTAGGTATCATCAATGCCCCTAAGATAGAGTGGAAGGCTGGGGCATTCCAGGCCTCTAACATCATCTTCTACCCACCCAAAGCTGCCATCAGGGGCATTCCAAAATCCACTTAAATCCCCCCATCCTTGAGATGAAGCCCACATTCTACTTAACCTTTAAGGTTCTTCAGATTTGGTCTCCACCACTTCCTCTCATTTCCCTTCACCCAATTCGGCAGCCCTCCTGAACTTCCCACCCCTTCCCAAACCACTTGTTTTTTAGCACTTGCTACTCCTGCTTCCTCCCCATTTTCTGCCTAACAGACTATTCTTCCTTCTTAAGCAGGGAGCTGTCCCGGAGTGCCCAGGCAGCTGTAGTCAGTCTCCTCTGTCCCTCAGGATGGACTGTATGCCTGTACCAAGAGCAGGGAGCCTGCATAATCTCTCTCTCACTAGCTTCCAGCACCATGATCAGCCAGCCTGATAAATATTTGTTGATCAAGACAATGAACATGAGTTTTCTGCCAGTCTTTTATTGCTAATTCTGGTACTTTCCCAAAGGCTCTGGAACATGGCCTTGACCTTTCACAGTAATGGGCCCCTAAGTGCTGGCTGTTTTACCTGTTACCTCATGTAATTCTATGGCACAGGTATTAACATTTCCATTTTATAGATGAGGAAACTGACACTCAGAGGGGTCCACTGACTGTGCACTGCTGGGATTTGGTACAGCCAGGATTAGGACCCCACCCGATCTGTGCACATTCCACTGGGCCTCAGTGTGGTCTCCCAGTATCCTACCAGAGTGGGGAACAAAAGGTGTGCCTGCGGACTTCTGAGGAATTCTCCACTCTGCCCAAGGATCCCTTAAACCTGCCCTTCAAGGAAGGTGGCTAAGAGATGGGATGGGTGGCATCCAGGTCTGATGGCAGAAGGCCCAGAGTCTGGGGGACCTTCAGAAAGAGACTGACCTGAACTGCTGTTCCCTGATGCATAGATAGAAGCCTAACTTCCAAAGCAAAACAAAATAAAACAAAAACTACCTCTAACAGATAGCTGAATCAGAAGAAGGGAAGGGGTCAAAAAGATGCTCTTGAGATGACTGTCTCAATTCTGCCCAGCTTGTAAAATGACCCAGAGAAAGCCCCAGGTTTGAAAGATCCTTCGAGGAGTACTTATTAAGAACCCAATGTTGTTTTACAAATACTCTCTCTGCCTTTCCTGTACCCTAAGGAGATTTCTAATCTGTATTTCACATGTGAAGTATTTGAAGTTATTAAGTGAGAGTTGAAGGTTAGGCAGTTATGCATACAAACCAAGCTCTCCTGCCTTCAAAGGACAAAGCTTAACCACTGTACTAGACTGCCTCCATCCCCCTTCCTGAAAAATTCAGAGAAAACAAGTTCCCCACCCACTCTTTCATGACATCAGTCTTGAAAATTCTCATGAGGAAGCTGACCCCATGTGTAACATGAGCTGAGTTACAAAAATGTTCTTGCCCTTTGCCCCAGGTATTTATTCTGGATGGAGAATAAAATCCAAGGAGAGATTTTTTTTTTAAATCTGAAAAGACGAAAAAAGTTATATCCACAGAGTTGTCCATAAAAGTTCAATTGTTAATTCCAAAACACCTGGAAGCAATCTAACTTCACAAATGATGGACAAAGGCTGCGTATCCTGGGATGGGCTTGTTAACGTGGCGGATACACATGGACTTTAAAAATCAGTTGGTTTACATGCATTTAGAATAAAGGCAAAGTGTAAAAGGAGAACACTTCATTTTAATTTCAGAATACCATCTGAATGAGGAAGGTTCACTTATGCCATTTTATCTTTATGCTTTCCTTTAAAGAATTTTAAATCAATTTTTGATAAGGTAATTCATGTACATAGTTCAGTACATGGTACATTAAAGACTAAAGATCTAAAGCAATATCCAGTGGAGCAGCCTCCAGTAACCCATGACAGCCATTTAAGAATGTGGGTTTGCTGATTTACAAAACTCAGAAGGGAACACAGAGGGAAGTAACTTGCTTTATGGTTATTTGGATCTGCTGTTTTCCTGCAAGGCTGATGAAAGCAAAGTTTTAAAAAAGAAACAAAATAGAGAATTCACACCATTTCTCTGAGATGTAGTTCAGAGCTTCCTGCTGGGACTGTCTTTTTCAAGTCTAGCTCAAATCCCTCTTGCTGTAATCTGTGAAGGAAGCTAAATTGGGGTGGACAAGTCAGGCAAAGAAAACCATGTGAGAGAAAACCGACCGCTTTCTTACCTGTCAACCTACCAGGCTGCAGTCTTCTAGGGCTCTGCTGGCAGCTTCAAGGGGCTCGGAGCAGGTGCCTAGGCGCTGGGGGCAGTGGGTGCCAGGTGGGAGAGGCTGTGGCTTCCCCTAGTCCACAATCCAGGCTTCCCGACTGGTGGGAAGGGCGGGGAAAGCAGGCCACTGCAATTCAGAAACTGGAGCCAGCAAGGGCGGGGCGGGGCCACGTGGCCTGTCTGCCTTGGACTGTGGAGTAGGAGGGGGCCACAAACCCGGAGGATCAGTCGGGAACCATTATGAGGACGCCCTTTAACGTTAATGGTGGCAGCCCCCCAAACCAAGTCCTGGCTCCCAGGCAGTTTGGGCCATTTTAAGGGACTATCCCAGCTCCTCTCCAGAACACATTTACTGACAAAAACTCTTCTACAAAACTGAGTAAATCTGGGTGATTTGATAGTGACTAGAGGGCATGTCTACGTAGGGGAAAAAACATTACTAAAAAGGCCTTTGATAAATATCAGTGTTGAGGACCAGTCAGTCAGTCTACAGATGGATAAGTGAGCCTAGAGAGATGAAGTATTTAACCCAAGATCACACAGCCAGAGGGCTCACTTCCCCAAAACTCAGGGCTTGTCCTGGTGCAACATATGGTCTGCCACAGCACTTGTGGGAGTTCCTGATGACACAAGAGAGGCCCTTAAACCCATCTCCAAGGACTTTGACTTTGCTTGGGTCAGAGTGAGTGCTGAGGATGGCTCTGCCAGCAGAGTTCTGTGGGCACCAGAGGGGGCAGCTCCATCTCTACCCTAGTTTTCAGAGCAAGCTCCCAGATTTATTGTTATTTGGAGTCTTCAAGGGTGGGCCAATCCCAAGGGGTCTTTTAGCTCCAACACCAGCAGACATTACAAGTGGGGAACAAGGGACAGGGGAAGGCCTGTGTTCAAAGTATCAAACTATCCAAGAAGATAGTTTGCATGTTTCCCTGAATGTGAGCACAGAATCCTTTACAAAGGGGCTTTTTTAAAAATTTTTTTTATTGAGTTATAGTCAGTTTACAATGTTGTGTCAATTTCCAGTGTAGAGCACAAAGGGGCTTTTTATTAGCATCTAGGACTCCACACTACCTAGTTTAGGAAACACTGGCCTAGAAGACGTTGGCATGTCTTATTCTGAATGCCAATGCCTGGCACAGCAGTTATTCAAGAAAAGTTTCTCAAGAAAAGGTTTCTCAATTGGATTGACAAAACTAGATCCCTGGTTTGGCCCTGAACTTCCATTATTGTGGACAATAACACCTACAACGGAATGCACTTGGGCTAAATAATTCCCCACCCCCACCGCCAAGGCAAAGGCTACGCTGGCCACACCCTCTACAAGGCCTTGCTGTAGAGCTCTGCCAAGCTGATTCACAGTAGTCAGTCCATGGGAGGGAAAGGTCAGGTAGAAGTGATGGGGGCACAGCCACAGGATCTCATTGCAGCCTCACAGAAGCCTAAACAAACTTTACCGTGCCCTGTGCAGGACCCTGTGGCTTAGAATACTTTCTTTCAAAGTAGCACATATAGGAAGGACTGCAGTTCAAGATGGAGGTGGTTCCAGGTCTCCCAAGGCTTCCAGACCCAAGTTCAGCGGCCACAACGCCTCAGACCCCCTGAAAGCTCAGGGGAAAGCACTTCTCTGTTATGAAGACCCCTAGAGGCTGGTCTTACTCTCCCATTTTACAGACAGGAAACCAAAACCACGATTAGAGACTGGTGAACCCTGGTCATCTGACTTTGTGTCCAGTGCTTTCTTTGGGCTTCAAGCCTACTTGGCACCTGGCAGATGAGATCTTGTTTCTGATTGCTTTATTTGAAGGTGCCTTTCTCCAGTTGCAGCATCAGCTCCTTAAAGGCAAGAGATTATCCAGTGTGCCCTGTTTACAGCATTAAGCCCTACTGACCCACAGTAAATGCTAGTATTTCTCTTGACTACCATGTCACTAGCTTATACACATTTATGACTGCAATTTATTAACTTGTGATAACTCTCCCAAAATAATCTGATCAAAAGCAACCTCATCCCCTGAGATTTTGTTTTCAGTTAGAAAAGAGAGTGAATTCTGCTGGGTGAGCCTGTGGATTGAAAATTTGAAGACTGACTCTAAAAGACAGAGGTGGGGAACTGAGGTGGGTTTGCCTCTGGGATTACAACCACACCTGACTGGGTACTGACAAAGCTGCTGGATTTGAGGGGGTAACGGGTAGGGTGGTGTTGACAGAGGTTTTTAGCTACTTCCAGTTGAGTCTCCCAGCCTTTTGTCCCCAAACTGGAATTTGCAAACTTGGTGCTTTGATTTTTTTTCCCTTTGTTTGAACAAGAATCAATGATCCCTCATTCTCCATCATACCTAGTAATTTTCAGCTGTGAAATATACAGGTGCCCAGACATTCCCAGAAGAGATCTAGGGCAGAATCCAGGCAACTATTCTGACAAACTCAAACAATCCTAATGTCCAGCTGGGGTTAAAAGCCACTGCAACAGGTTTCCTAGTTTTCTGACAAGAACCTTTGGCTGCCCACCCTCCTCTTCCTTTTCAGACTTAGGAACTTCCGATTTTCCTGAGAAGTCCAAAATTGTGCCTGTTTTATCTGAGAAAACCAGATTAAGGGCCTTAGGCTCTTCTGAAACTTGTTGCCAGGCTCTCTGGCAGACTCACCTCACCAGCAGTCTCAAATAGGAACTGCTAGGTTATAAAAAAACTCCTGGGTGTAGAGCAGATCTGTGAGGAGGTGGCACAGAGTAGGTGCTCAGTAAAAACTGGCCTATGTAGCACCATCTTCTAGTGAGTTAGGCATGTCTCCTGATGTTTGCTTTCAAAACTTCTATAAAAACAGCTCTTGGTTACACTGATGTAGACCAGTGAAGGGGATTCTTCTGACTGCTGTGTAGTCAGTATCTACTGATTTCAGTTCACTTAAACTTCATACATGGCCCACACAGGGACCAACTATAAATCAGCCACCAACCACAGAGGTGTTCACCAAGTCGCTACCCATATATCCCAGATATTGTTACCCATGTACTCCAAGCACCTTTCCCCCAACATTGTTATTTTTTTGGTTAAGATCTGACTTCAGCACCACAGATGCTTCTTCTGAGTTCTGGATACAGCCCTTGAATATATCATAAGCATGCAATAAACTTACAAAATTCACATATAATATTCCATATGCAAATGAGCAAGTTAATGATTCACCCAAACACATGTCATTTCTATTCTGAATGAACAGAATATATCTGGAGAAGACTCTTAACTCAAAAAGATACATGCACCTCAATGTTCACAGCAGCCTTATTTACAATCGCCAAGACATGGAAGCAACCTAACCGTCCATCAATAGATGAATAGATACAAAGATGGGGGGGCAGTGTATACTATTCACAATAGAATAGGGGAATACTATTCAGCCATAAAAATAATGAAATAATGCCACCTGCAGCAACACAGATGAACCCAGAGATTATCATACTAAATGAAGTCAGAGAAAGACAAATATATCATTTATATGTGGAATGTAAAATATGATACAAATAAACTTATTTACAAAACAGAAACAGATTCACAAACATAGAAAACAAACTTATGGTTACCAAAGGGAAAGGTGGGGAGAGGGGTAAATTAGGAGTTTGGGATTAGCAGATACAAACTACTATATATAAATAACAATGTCCTTCTGTGTAGCACAGGGAACTATATTCAATATCTTATAAAAAGCCATAATGAATAAACTATGTATGTACAACTGAATCATTTTGCTGTATACCAGAAACTAACACAATATTGTAAATCAACTATACTTCAATTTAGAAAAAAGAGAGAGAGAGAGAAACAGAATCTAGGAACTGAAAAAAGAAGAAAAAAGAAAAGAAAAGAAAGCCAGTTAATCCATGTGAAGAATGCTCCCAACATTTCTGGCTTCCCACTAATGAGAAATTCAAGACAGGCTTACAGTCATGAGAACAACACAGATTCTGGAGACCAGAGCTGTTCCCATGAGATGAGTGAACCCCAAGGGCCTTTTCCAGCCCCAGCAGCTGTCTTGCTAATAATACATTAAAACAAACAAACAAACAAAAACACTACATTTGCAGTCCAACTTGAACCTCCTCCCCACAAGGAATGCTGTTCCTGGCAAAAGATCTTCAAAATGAAATATCTGTGGAACCTCCACTCATGATGCCAGGGAAAGGCTGAGGCAACTAAAAACTTTTCAGTCCTTTTTTTGACCCAAGTTGCAGAGACTTAACAGCAGCAGAATGGGAGCAATCCTGATAACCAAGGGCAAATGCCTTGGTGGCTTGACATTCCTTTTCAGTTTCATGGCAACCTCTACTGTGTTTTGCAAGACAGGACAGAGTTCTCCCTTTACCTGGTTGCAAAACTAAACCAAAGGAGTTGATTAGGTCCCCTAAACACACAGACGAGATTTGTAAATTTAGACTCATCGAATCACTAAATTTTATTAAACATTTTTTGTAGATCCTATAGCAACAACTACGAACTGGACAAAACTGCTCTTAACATATTCAAGCCTAATTTGTTGTGCCTACGCTCCTAAAATTCCACTTCTGAGAGCCCTTGTGCAGAGGGCCAGCAAACTCATGAATATGCAGAAGCTCAATGGTGACAATTCCTGGATAGGACACCTAAAACACAAGTAACAAAATTATAAAATAAACAAAATGGGACTACAAACTAAAGTTTCTGCACAGCAAAAGAAACAACCAACAAAGTAAAAAAGACAACCCGTGGAATGGGAAAAATTATTTGCAAACCACAATGTGATAAAGGGTAAACATCCAAAATATGTACTCATACAACTCAACAGCAAAAACACAAGTAATCCAATTAAAAAATAGGCAAAGGACCAGAATAGACATTTTCCCAAAGATACATGAATGGCCAACAGGTACGTGAAAAGATATTCAACAAAACTAAACACTGGGGAAATGCAAATCAAAAAAAAATGATGAACTATCACCTCACACCTTTTTGAATGGCCATCATCGAGAAGACAACAGGTAATAAATGCTAGTGAGGACGTGGGGAGAAAGATACTCCTGCACACTGTTGGTGGGATTATAAACTGGTACAGCCACTATAGAAAACAATATGGAGTGCCCTCAAAAAATTAAAAATAGAAGTCCCTTATTGATAGAACAACTCCACTTCTGGGAAAGTATCCAAAGGAAATGAAAATACTAACTCAAAGAAATGTCTGCACCCCCATGTTCACAGCAGCCTTACTTACAATAGCTAAGACACAGAAACAAATCAAGTGTCTATTAACAGATAAATGGATAAATAATATGTGAGATAGATACACACACACACATACACACAATTAAAAAAATTATCCTGCCATAAAGAAGGAAATCTTGTCATTTGCAGGACTAGATGAATCTTGAGGGCATTACGCTAAGTGAAATAAGCCAAAGAGAAGTTATAAGATACATAAGTACAAGGAATGTAATGCACAACATAATGACTAGTTAAGATTGTTGTGTGATACATGTGAAAGTTGTTAAGAGTAAGTTCCAAGAGTTCTTATCATAAGAAAAAAAATTTTTTGCCTTTTTTGTTGTACCTATGAGATGATAAATTATTTGACAATATATTTAAATCAAAATATACAGTGATGTATGCTAATTATATTCCTCCCACCAAAAAAAAAACACAGAGAAAAGAAAATCTTTCCAGCTGTGAGAATTCGTAGAGAAATCAAATCCAGAGAAGGCCCCTTAGTTATGGAGCTGAAACTATCTGCTTACCTCTTGAAACTCTACCTCATCCGGCACCCATTTGGCCACATCAGAGAATGTGATAATGTCAACAGACACATTGAAAAAGCAGCATAAGGGTAAAAGAGAGTATCACCTTTATGTGTGGGGTGGGGAGGGAAGGAGATTGGCAACCATGGTGACTCCTAAAGGAAAATGGAAGACTTCACTGTGCTGACCCAAGCCCCACACATTAAGAGCTCAGGTTTGGATCAGTAATAACCTACAATGTGCTAGGCTGGCTATTGGGTACTTGAGGTATATGATCTCATTTTATTTTGAGATCAATCCTGTTTATCTCCATGTTGTGGATGAGAAGTCAACCAACCTGACCAAAAATCATGGATCTAATCAGAGGCAGAGACCGGATTGAACTCAGGCCTTATGAGTTCATGCCTAGTCTTATTTACAAGCTCCCATTCCAGATTTAAGGGGGAGGCTCTGAGGAATCAATATTTTTATTAAGTGGCCTAAGGGATAATTTTCATGATTAGGAAAATTCGGGAAAAATAAAACAAACATACAAACGAAAATTTGTATTCACAAGAGATACATGATCACTTTGACTTGCTGATAAATGTTGGGATTCTAAGGAACTAATAAGATGCTGTTCCAAGTGGGCTGGGCCACATACTTAAGGACTTCTGTGCAGCATATATTACACCTCTCCTTTCACTTTCTACAGATTGGGAGCCAGGGCTCAGAAGTTTTAAATGGCTTGCCCAAATTTACTCAGCTGTTATTTGACATTTTGCCTGATTCTAGTTCTCTATTATAAACACATTTGGCTGATTATTTCATCTGTATAAGCTTCCTCTCCCCTAGTGGAATGTCAAGTTCAGCTGAGCAGGCCTTGAGAATTTCTCACTATGCTTAGCACAATGCTTGGAATATTAGCTCATGATTTGCTGTCATCTATCTGATAACGTTTTCCAAAACACACCCATATTCCTCTGACAATTCCAGAGTTTGTATCATTTTACCTGGGGATGGAAAAGAGTAATACACTCGTATTATTCTTGTAATAAACTAGAAGCACAAGATGATCCAACGAGAAATCCACCCTCGTCTGGCCTACCTGTAGCTCTCCTGTGGGGCAATAATCAGATGACCACACATTCCCAGTTGTGGTATAAGATCTAAAATTAAGATTCAGTATTACATGCTGTAAAATCAGAAGGGTTCCAAATGGCCTACACACAGGTTTCCGTCCCCATTCTGCTCTTGTGAATGAGGTTCCTTCTGTAGCTAAACAACCCTCTGTATCAAAGGACCAGGCACAGTTTCTGCCCACCTCTGAGCAGCAGGTTTCGGCTCCCTGCCAGTCCATGGGTTTATTCAAACAAGCCAATCACAACTTCTCACAGGAACCAGGAAGCGTTCTACCGTCCTGATAATATAAAGCTTGTCTCCCAAAGCCCCCAGTTGTTTACTGGGTTCCTAAGTGCAACCCCCATGTGGTAGTGCATGGCATGCAGTATTTTCCTCCCATGGGCTCTGATGTGACCAATAAACTGCTGTCTACATGATAACCAAAAAAAAAAAAAAAAAGGCAATTCCTGACTATACACAGAGATCAAGGTTTCCTTTCTTACATATTCCTCCTAATACTTCCTAATACTGTAGGAAGAAATATTTCAGGAGAGAGGCTAGGAACAAATTGCTGCTGCTCAAGTACCAATGCTGAGTTTCTCATACTTCTGCATGTCAACATCACAGAATCTGAAAGGCTAAACAGAACAAGTGGAGGCTGCAGGAAAAATGAGCCCTGGAATTAGGCTATGCAAATGTAATAATGTAATTCAAAAGTACTGTCTACTATACATACCCATGAGCTAAGTGAGAAAGTAAAGTGTCATTTGGGGATTCAATTCCTAGCAAAACTTGGGTCTCTCTATTGACTAATGTAAAACCAAGACATGATTAAAGAGATACTCATTTCCAGGGGATAGCATCAGAAACCCTCTGTGCACTAGACTGTGGGTTATCTGCGGTTGAAGACTGTATCTAACCACTTCCATTCCTGATTCTAACCCAGTGCCTGCCAGAGAATCTGTTCAATGGAAGTGTGTAAGCACACACGCACATGAAAAGGTGTTTTACTCTGTCAAGTCTTACCCAGAAGTGAATTAGGCCTCACTATGTTTAATAAAGCTGCACAACCGCCTGAAACATTAAGGCTTCCCACACAGCTTGACAGCGGAAGGCTGAATTCTATAGTGTGTGAGCTGAAACATTTCTAAGACTGGGTCACCTCTAGCTGCTGTCTCCTAATACTTGAAAGGCCCTTCAAAGCCCACCTAAGATGTTTGTGGCAGACAGACACCTCCCACCCCAGGTTACCCACATGCCTTTAAATAGGAGCCACAGGTACTGACTTGATTCCCAAGGGCAAGTTCTTCTGTACTTACTGATCCTTCCTAGTAGACAGATGGCAACTGATCATTTCAGGAGCTGTGGAAGTAAAAGGAGCATCTATTAAGAGACTAGCCAGCTGGAATTCATGCCAAATCCTTCACTGTTAGACCTCAAAGTAGAAGGGAGCTTAAACAGGGAAGAAGAAATCAGCCACCCTTCCTCACTATTCAAGAGGCATGGATGACCACATGGTTATTATTGAGCCCAAGTTTTATCTACATAGTAGAAAAGACAACAGAAAGCGAATACACCATCTCAGAGCTGGGAGCATGAGGACAATAGAAGCCATTAGTCCAAGTAGGTAGCTGGAAGGAAGATACCCAGTTCTTCCTGCTCCAACTCAGGCTCAGATCTCCCACCTAAATTCTCATCCCCAGAAAAGACGCATGGACACCAGTCACCTTAAAAACTAAGTTTGTATTTCTGGTTAGGTTCCAGAGTGGCAGAACTCCAGAATTATACTATATCCAACCTGGTCCCTACCTTTGCTTCCCTCCCTCCCTCAAAGGTAACATCATACAAAACGATATTTACAGGTAAACCAGTTAAAAATTAAGGGTGTGTACAAAAGTAGACAACATAGCCAGAAATACCAATGCAAGAAAGATCTGGGAAAAGAGGCACTGTATTCCACACTGGATCCTCGGGGCAATGTATTATGTACTAGGCCAGAAAAAGTATGGCAAATCTTAGTGCCAATTAGGGGAAACCAGTCACTCCAGGGGAAGAGCTATTAGCTTTAATATTACAAAATCTTAATTATCCAGCCATCCTTCTTCTGCCATATGGATTCAGAGCCATGTGGTGAGGAAAATAATACAGTCTCTGACAAGCCCCATGGGAAAAGGAAGGAAGAGCTCAAAAGGCATAGCGAGTCCGGATGTCCTCAAGCTTCTTGGACACCTCAGGTGGGGTTCGGTCCAGTTCTTCAGAGACATTCTTTTGTTTGTTGGGCTCCATGGAGTTGAACTGCTCACACAGGTCTCCATCAATCACATTCTAAGATGTGGAAAAATGAGAGAGGAAGAAAAAGGTTAGATGCTCAAAGAAAATGGCACATGCTAAAGCAGCAACTGCAAGGAAAACTTTTTATTCTCCCTCAGACACCTGAATTCCATTTACAGGCCAGGAACAATATTCAAAGTTGATCCTTAGTAAACAGAGTTCAGATTAGCAGAACTGGGTGAAACCTTCTCTGGCTATGGACTGTCCTCAGGGAAGAGGTCTCTGAATATCACTATTCCTCTTCCCCATTACTGTCTCCATCAATCCACTCTCTCGATGCTACTTCATTCAGGACGATTCTAATTTTTAATGAAGGGATGCCCAGAGAAGACTGGTTATAATGGGCTAAGGATCCCCCTCTTCAGCCCAAGTTTCTAAGAAAGACCTACCTTAACAGGGAAGTAATAGGAACGAAAACTGAGGTGGTCTCGTCCACAGAGAGGGGGATGTTCAGATCGTAGGTGCATTTCCACATGCTGGAAGAAGTCATGGTCCTGGCAGAAGAAACAAAGAATCTGTCACTAAAAAAAAAAGTGATTTCAACTACTAGTGTATGGTTTCCGGAAGCACAATGAACAGACAAGCTACTAATTTTTACCACAAATATCTAATTGTTCCTGGTGATCACAGATTTTCCTGCTACAAGATAGCTTAAACCTGAAAGAAAACCCCTTTGTATTTGTAGAACATGAGAGAAAACATCATATGTAAAGAGTAATTGTGAAGTTAGATTCCTAATCCCAGCTTCCCTGGCTGCAATTACATAAACCAAATTTAGCCAATCCTAGAGTTGACTCTATGAGGCAGTAAATGCCCAGTCCACAACATACCACTATTTCTGTTCTGTGGGGTTTGGTTCTGGGGCTTTGGCCTTTAAATAACCCTATACCTACATCAGAACTGAACCAAACCCTGGTACAGTATAAAAGCAAATGGCTTTCCCTGGGAAGGGGTGGGGGCGGGGGCGGGAAATCAAGATTCCTATCTCCCCAGGCACTCCAATCACCTTGTAAAATTTCCACAACACTCTGAGTTGCAGATGGGGACAAACTGGATTGCTTTCTCAGGCAGATTTACCACCAAGAAATAACACTGGGAAGGCAAAAGCTAGAGTCATGTGGAAGATATCACCTCATGAGATGTGAATGGGACAAGGATGCCAATTCCTCCTGACAAGGTGGTGTAGACAAGTGATTCTGAGCCTCCAGGGATCAGCGTGGTCTTCTGTAATGAAAGTACTGTCTCGCCCACATGATAGTTCATGATCACTTCTGCCTGAAAATCAAAACCAGACTGGTAACTAACTATATGTGCCCTCAGAAGCCTGTTCTAGATTCCCAAAAGCAAGTGGCGCCTCCAAATGGCAGATTTTACTATCTTTTAAAATTCATGAAATACTAAAATTTAAACATACTTTGAAATGTTCCTAGCATTTACTTAGAGCTTTATGTCCTCACAAACATGCTGAAGTTACATCATTTTTTATTTATATTTGAAAAATCTTTTTGTTGAATTATCAAGTTTACAAAAATGAAACCACAAAAAAATCATAAAAAAAAAAAAAACAGCAATCACTAGGCTTGTCCCCTAAAATGGATCTGTTTTTAAAGATCCAGAGATGCTCTACTACAGCAGTATATTCCCACAAGAAAAGAGTAAAGACCAGGACACACCTCAGAGAGAAGCTGGTTAGTACTGGGAATAAACCTGTGCAACCATCTTTCCCAAGGAACCCACTAAGCTCCAAAGAGATTTACACTGCTAAAATGTCTCAGAAAAATTTCTATTTTACTGTTAAAAAAATGGAATAGTAACTTGGTCACTGTGTGTCAAACCCAGTGTCCATCCATTATAGGCTATATACTGTCAATCTTAGAGATATCCATGCATGGGAGAGCACTCAGCAGTCATGTGCACTGTGGATAATTTACTAAAAAAAAAAAAAAAAAAAAAAAAAGTTCCCTTGGTGAGGGTCGTGAAGAATGTACTACGTAGACTGGTCCTTCTGCAATCTTACCTTCTGAGAGGCCCCATTGAGCAAGCCCCGGTCCCACAGGGCTTTGTTTCCGGTGGGATCCTCATCCACTTCGTCATTGGTATTAGGTGGGAGCCTCACCTACAATGAAGTGACACAAATCACATAGCTGGGTCCTGCACCTACTCACCCTTGTCACCAAGCAACATGTTTGCCCCAGGTCCTTTGACAGGGGCCTGAGCCCAAGTCTCCTGCACCTGTTCTGGTGTCTGAGGAGCAAAAAACTCCAGTGAGCAAGGGTCTAACACAGCAAGAGGAAAAATGAAGACCACAGAACATAAACAAGAGAAGCCAGACTGGGCTTTAAAAGATAAACCAAAATTCTGGCAAAAACTGAAAGTATTAGTCGTTAGCTCAAACAAATTTATCATTATTAAATCATGCTGCATGGGGAGGAGGAAGGTGAAAAGGGTTAGGGGATTGAAAAGGCTTTTAAATCCATTTTTACTTTCCATATTCATAGTCCTGGGTCCTTGGCTTTACCACAAACAAACTGAATTGAGTCAGCTTTCCTACACATCACTGTAACCCAGTATCACCTTACCACACAAATGTTGCCAAACTTGTCTGCTCCAGCCACAGTATCATAGTCGAGGAGGCTAGCTGTTGTGACCCATCGAGGGTAGGTGTCATCAGCAAAGATGATGAGCTGGTTTTCGTTACGCTTGTAGCGAACCCAGATGAAACTTTCTTGGACGTCAGATACAATTACCCTATGTCCAATAGTCTGAATCCCAGAGATGTAATTGGCGATATGCTGAGAAAACAAGGACAGCAATGGGCGTAACCTTGGGACACAGAATCAACAAAGATCAGCTTACTCTGACTGCAACATATGTCTCAAGAATGGCACACACCAAAGAACAGCAGTCAGCAATAAATCCCCAGAAGTTAAAAAAAAAAAAAAAGAGCTAGATGGTTTTAACACAGTGGAAATATATGACTAATTGCCCCAGATAAATTCCTTACAGAAGCAAACAGGACAGAAATCTGGCTCTTAGTGTGAGGAAGTCAAGAAACCCACCTACTCCTGCCCTTCTCAAGTCTCAAGGGCTTAATTCATAGTCTGGAATTGGAGAACAAGGTACTGATAAAGGCACATGATTCTAACAGTTCCTGTCCACCACCCTGCCAGAGTCTCCTCCTTCCTCACTAACTAGATCTGGGCCCTCTACCAGCAAATTTACCTTGTTCTCACACTTTCGGAGTAACTTCTTCTTTCCCAGGTCATAGACTCTCAGAAGCTTCCCCACACCAATCAACACCCTCCCCTGGAATGGGGCAATGGCAGCAGGGACCTCTTCCACTGGAGTCTGTGAGGGAAAAAAACCAGGTAATATGGCTATTAAAACATACAGCCATACCCCTTCAACCCAAAATGCCTTCTACAGGCATCCATCAGGAAAACAGCGAGCGATCATCTGTTGCTCATCAGAGAAAATACACTACACAAAGAACAGTCTCTATGAAACAGGGTATTTGGGTAAACAGGTCCCAAACACTGCATTTCAGCAAGTGGATTGATGCCACAAGTGAAAAGTGGATTGGTGCCTGATGAACACTGCCTGAGAGCCCATGCAAATTCACATGGTGCCATTAACTAATCGTGAAGTCTCAATATCAGAAGTGACAGTGGTATACTGGGGAGGGGAAAGGAGTCCTACTGATAAGTGATGGCTGAGTTCTAAGGGAGACACAATGAGTTTAGCACAAAAAAGGTTGTGAAGCAATTATTTCCTAGAGAACACTCCCTTTGTGGGAGGCCTAGAGAAACCATATTCATGTGCTATCAGTGTACAGGAATTTTTTCATTTTAAAAATTATGGTAAAATATGCATAACATAAAACTTACTATTCAAGCCATTTTCAAGTATACAATTCAGTAATATTAAGCATACTTATAATGTTGTGCAACTATCACCACCATTCACCTTCAGAACTTTATGACCTTTCCAAAAGGGAACTATGTAACCAAATAAACAGTAATCCACCCCCATTACCTCCACTCTGAGAATATTAATTCTTTAGAACTGCTGGATTTTGGTCACAAATTGCTGCCTACTTAGTAAGACCAGAAAACAAGGGGCTTATTCAGTGTGTCTGTATCTCCCCATGGAGGGTGGTTAGCACACACGCTTCTTGTGGCACCAGTAGGCAGCAGAGCTTCACTGGAGCACGCAAGCCCTAATATTTCTCTTGTGCCATCAAGAGATGGATCAGAAACCAATGAGCTGGCTCTCTAAATGGTCACCAAAAGATCCGACCCACAACTCACGCAAAAGTGGAAAAGTCTAGTAAGACCTATGATTCAGGAAAACCACTGGTTAGTTCCTACCTTATGCAAAAACTCCAGTTTTTCCCCATTGTTCACAAGCTTGTAGGTATAGACAAAGCCTCCTGCTACAGATCGGGGGTTCAGTATCAGGTCTTTGGCCACACCCACCAGCACATACCAATCATCACCAGTGTTGGAGAATCTGCACACAGCCACACTGCATTTACAGAGAAAGAATCAGGAGTCAGGCATTAGGCATAGCCTAGATAATTCCCATTCCAGTCTCCAAAAACCCTGATGCCCTGGGCTCCTTACCTAAAAGCAGCTTCATTCTGTTCCAGCTGGACAAGGTCCAGTGTGTTCCCCTGAATAGGATTCATCACTCGGATCACAGAGGCCCACTGCCCATTGCCAGCCTTAGGAGCTCCAAAAATGGACTCAGGGAGGTTTTCATTGAGGAATGCTGCTGCCATCTCTGCAGCTAACTCCCGTTCATCCTCCCCTGCTGCTTCCACCATTTCCTAAATCCGAAGAACCAAGGAGGAATTGGTGTGTTCAGAGGTGGGTACTAGGTGAGAAGTGGACAAGCAGTAAAAACACCTCCAGGGGGTCCTCATAATATACAAAGTAGCAAAATCTGTCACCAAAATCAGGATTTCCCAAAATGAAGATTAACTGGAGAGGTGTACAGACAAGGGGAAGGGGAAAGATCACTGAAAGAGAAACTAGGTACTTATTTTTAAATATCAATGCCAAAAAGAACTGACATCGGCTGTGGTGATTACTTGACTAGTAGTCTGAGAAACATGAAGATGAAAACACCATTTTTCTACCTAATCATCTGATTTCCCTTGCTAAGACTACTTTTCCTTTCTCTTTTAGGCCAGATAGTTTTACATGGTTGGGACTGTTTGCTTCTTGCAGGGAAATGATTTCTGGAAGAAGCTGGTGTTGCAGGGAATATGAAAGCTCTCTTGGGCCCGAATCCAAGGAACATATAACACAGACTGTTTTAGAAGTTCAAGGACTGAAGGGAGTCCAGAGAGGGAGCTGAATACTGAATAAACCCAGGTCAGTGTTTTAGTCCTGAGCCATAAGTCTCTAAAACCAATGACCATGGCAGAGGGCTCCACTTGAAGGACCTGGATCTTAAATATCACAAAGACAATAACCAACAATTACATAGCGGTTTAAACTTTTCAATAAAATAGAATTTCACACAAATGCCTTGTTATTGAACCCTGAAGCTCAGCTGCATTACCTCTGCCATCTGCTGCTTCCTCTGCGCTTTTGTGGCCTCAGTGTAGGCATTGTGGTCAGTCTCAATGATGATAAGGTTGTTACTTTCAGGGTGTATGACAAATTTCCTGGGTGTGTACTGCAGTGGAAAGGCTACTTGATTGAAGACAGCACCGAGCTTCTCCAACGCCAAAATCCTACGGCAAAAGTCAATGTAGTTAATAGGTCACTCACTCAGGACCAAGAAACTGGTGTTGAAATGGTCAATAAGCTATCACAGAAAACACATCAACCCCTAAAGCTCTAATGGTAGAATTAGGTAACATGAAACATTAGCCTTCTAATCTAAAAGATTCTGCGCAAGAGACATAGAGATCTGGGAAAGGCCCTTTACTTCACAACAGGCCACCACTGGTTCATGGTGATTCCAGTTTTCACCAGTGAAATCTACATTAGAATCCCCAAAGGAATTTTTTTTAATCCCTCCAATGATAATATGATAGTGATAGTTAAAATTTCCTCCTGATTATTACTGACAAACTGTGATATAAAGAATACCAATTTCAAATTTGTTGTGAAGCACTGCAATTACCGACATACAGTATTTGTGTGACAGTGTTCCATAATACAGTAGATGCCATTCTGAATGAAAACTACCTAAGCTTTAGGAAATCCACAACAGTGTAGAAAGAGGCAGCAAGTATGAAACGTACAACCTTGTCAAAAAGGACAGAGATGTGCCTAAGCCAAATTATGTACAAAACGAGCAGAATCCAGATGCTCTTAAAAATATAGTACTTAATGCATGTGAGAGTAAAGAAATCAACCATTTAAACATCAAAACTTGTCATTCTAAGGGGGAGGATTTAGCTCAAGTGGTAGAGTGCATGCTCAGCATGCACAAGGTCCCAGGTTCAATCCCCAGTACCTCCTCAAAAAAAATAAATCTAATCACTTCCCCCTACACACACACACACACACACAGAAATACAAGAAAGAAAAAAGAAGAATTTTTAAAAAAATTGTCATTCTGCAAGAAAAATGTAAGTGTGGCATAAACAAAAACCATGACCACAGATCCTATAGCTTTGATTCTTCTGATCCCACCCACACATTTACCTGTTTTCATAAAGGAACACTACCACGCCAACAGGCAGATTCCAGGCAAAGGGAGGACCTGCTTTCAGTGAGAAACACAATATGGGAGGGGACACAGATGCTTTCATGTTGTATTCTTCCTTGGAAAATATGAGGTTAGCCAGAGTTTGTCAAAGTGGGGCATATAGCACTGGTGATACCCAAGCTGACTTCAGGCAGTTCTCAGATGGAATTTTTAAAATATAATTATTTAAAAAATAATTAGCTTTTTGTGTGTCAGAGGATACTACTAAGAAAGTGAAGATAATCCACAGGAGAAAATATCTGCAAATCATATTATTTGACAAGGCAGTTGTATCTAGCACATATAAAAAACTCTGACAATTCAATAATAAAAAGACAATAACCAAATTACAAAAATGGGCAAAGGATCTAAAAGGACATTACTCCAAAGAACTAATAGCCAATAAGCACATGAAAAGATGATTCAATATCACTGACTACCAAAGACATGCAAATCAAAACCACAAGATATCACTTCACATTCTCTAGGATGGATGGCTATCAAAAAGTCATATAATAATAAATGTTGGTAAGGATGTCCAGAAATTGGAACCTCCATACCTCACTGGTGAAAATATAAAATGGTGTAGCCACTTTGGAAAGCAGCCTAGCAGTTCCTCAAAAAATTGAACAGTTACCAGCAATTTCACTCTTGCAGAAATAAGCCCAAGAAAATGAAAAAATACACCCACATAAAAACTTGTACATACATCTATCAAAATTCATCAAATTGTACATCTGAAATATGTAGTTTTCTGTAGGAATCATACCACAATAAAGGTGTTTAAAAAAAAACTTGCACATAAATGTTCATAGCAACATTACTCATAATAGTCAAAAGTGGAACTGACTGGTTCTGACAGTAAGTACTATAAACAGTAGTGTTTAAACTATGCTTCCAAGAACTCTGCTTTTTTGTTTCACACAGAGGCCTTCCACAACTTTGTTCTGTGGGAAAAATCTGCTGCTGCTAAAAAAAGCTTGAAAGTCTGTGGAATTGTTTAAATTTATAGGAATCTAGGAGATGAGCGCGCGTAGATAAAACAATTAGAGGGCCCATGGATGAGGCTACACCTTGGCAGACAAAGATGTGTGTGGGAAACATTCCAGGGGCAGGTGCATAGATCAAAAACCAAGAAAGAATGTATGAAGGCATGCAGGGAGAGCAATTCTGCTGGAGTAGAAGGTATACAAAGTGCCTGAAACTTAGAAAGAGAGATAACAATGACTGAAGAGTTCCTGAAAGCTGCTGCAGACAAATCTGGGACTTGACAAGTGATAGTGATTCATGTATCAAGAGGCAAGAGTTCCACTGGAACTGTCAATAGTTGTAACTAGGACATGAATGACACCAGTGGCATTAAAACCCACCCCCACAAAAAAACCTTGAGAAGTCACACTAAATAGGTTATTTTCTATCTTGCAATATATATAGTGCTCACTCTATCATTATCACTATAAATAGTCTGTTAACCTGCAAAGGCCTAAATAATTATACTGAGGTTAAAATTTAAGATTTAACAATGAAAATGACAAGACAGAGTGAGAAAAGATTACCAGTGACGGGGGGAGGGGGCAGAGGGATCAATCTGGGATTAACAGATACACACTACTGCATATAAAACAGATAAACAACAAGGACCTAGTAGAGGGAACTATATTCAATCTCTTATAATAATCTATAATGGGAAAGAATCTGAAAAAGAATATGTATGTATAACTGAATCACTTTGCTGTATACCTGAAACATTATAAATCAACTATACTTCAGTAAAAAAAAGAAAAATCCTGGCCAGAAGATTCTAAACCTTGGAGGTTCACAGTGACACTAGCATATTAAAAGTTCTGAGACATTACCACAAAAAAAAAAAAAAAAAAAAAAACAACCCACAAAATACCGATTCAATGCCTGCTCTAAAACTAACCCAATGGCATGTACCTGGAAAACAAGAATTTTAAATTTCACAAACTGAACTACTCTGCTGAGTATTATAACTTGGCCCTGAAAGTCTAAACAGAAGCTAAAACTTCCAAACACCAAAACTTAGCTACCAGGTACTTATATCCTGAGCCAAATGAAGGTTTCAATTGCAACACACTAGCCACACAGTGAAAAGTTGGCTCTTTGCCAGTCTCTCCTTGGGCTTCAACTTTGGGACTCTCTCACCTCAGGGTATTGGTGGAGATGGCCACAATGCCCTCAGGGCACTGTTCAGAGGCGAAGCCAGATGCAAATTCCAGGGTCTCATAAGACAGGGGGGTGAGATGGAAACGAGATTGGTAAGAATAGCTCAACCACGAGCGGCTTGACATGGCCAACACCTGAGGAAAGAAAAGCATCTCCATAAACTTGGAAAAAGCTCAAACACAGTATGCTAACCAAACTACCCTAACCCCAAATTTTAGTCTGTACAATATCCCAAGGAATTTTAGAAACCTAAAAGACTACCTTAAGAAAAAGAGGCCTAGAGAAGAGGCACTATGGCTTAGTATTTGCTAAAAGCTACTGGCTACCAGCCAGGTGATCTACTCAATCTGAGCCTCAGTTTCCACAAGTGTAAAATGGGAATACTATCATAAGGCCAGCAGAGAACACACCACCACTAATATTCTTAGTTACAAAGGACACAACACTTCCCAGCCTCTTTCATATTACACAGTAAGCCATGATATTGACACCAGGTTGCTCATGGGTAATGGTATCCTACATAGGAGGTTTTCAGCTAACTTTCAGTCCATTCCATTTGCTCAGCCTGAGGACAGAAGGCATCAATATTCTGATTCACCCATTACCAAATCATGGCACAGTGCCATGAAACTCCAGTTAAGCTCTGCATTAAGGAACCAAAGACTTCCCACATGAAGGAAACTAACCAAAATAGAGCTAATGTCTGACCAACTATAATACTGGTGAATTAATCAGAGCAAATCTCACACCAAGGGGACTTTTCTCAGCTGATGCCACTAACATCAAAACATAATGCCTGAGCCCTTTCATTACTTACGGCCTCCTGGCCTTGCATCCGGACACGAAAGAGTTTCACAGGACGAGATCCCAGATACCTAGTACGGGTGTCAGATAGATCCCCAGTGACAGGGTCCAGGACAGTTCTCAGCAGCACACCATTCTGATAAAAAGGAGAGGAATGGGTAAAGCCTATATACATAATGGAAACTCCTTTAGCTACTTTATTTCAGAGCAGATAGAAAGAAATGAGTAGGTGGTTTAAAGAATATGCTAATAATTCATTCATTCTCTCACTAAATCAAATAGTTGTTAACCATTTACTGTATGAAAAGTACTTATCTTTCACTGTATATCCTTAAAAAAATTTTTTTACCATGTATGTTAAACTCTTCTTTATAAGTTTTAAGACATACACAGTTTAAAATATCCATACCCACTGTGGTGTCCACATACCATTTCCCTTAAAAAGAATAAGAATCCTAAGAGAAATAGCTAATTCAGGTCTGGGGTAATAATGTTCCAGATATGTGTGGGCCATTTTGTTGTGTCAAAGCCCCCAAAGATAGTGGGATCATGTTAAAAAGGACAAAGGAGCCATCTTCAAAGGGGAACTCCCACTCATCTAAAATGTGGCAATTAAACATCCAAAAAAAGACTGCAATAGTTGGAAGCACAAATATATAAAAATCTGCAAGTTCATAATGTTAGTTAAAAAACAAACAAACCAAAAAAAACACTTCCTCAGTCCTCACTGAAGACTGCTATGGCATCAAGTCCTTACTCGGAAAGTAAGTAAACAAAGGGAAAAAAAAGAAATTTACCTTTCCCTGTATTAACTGTATTTCAGGGTAAGCAAAGATATGAAGAAAATTTTGTCTCTAGAGAAAAGTTTCAGCTAATTAAAGGAAGAATGAACTAGAAAATCATCATTTCCCATCCCCCAATGACATAATGCATCTAGGCAATGTGTATCAATGGCTGTTGTTAAGTAAAAGATTGATGAGAAGCTTTAAAAGAGATCATTTAAAATAGATACAAACATTCAAACATCACTAAAAGTAGGACAACCAGACTTCATATGCCACCTGATGTGATGTAATAGGAAGCAAATGGCACCTATATAAAATATTCTTGTCCCTCACCTCCTCCCCCCAAAATATCTAAATCTGAATCTAACCAACCTCTTGGTCTGTGCGATCCAATCCTACAGCCATCAAGCCACACGTGGCTAGTCAGAATTGAAATGCGCTGTTAAGTTCAAAGTACAAAATACCAAATTTCAAAGACTTAGTTCTCCCCACACTTAAAAAAACAGAAAGGGAGAAAACATAAAATACCTTAATTTGTATACTGATTAGTAACTGAAATGGTATTTTAGATATACTAGGTTAAATAAAACATTAAAATTAACTTCATCTGTTCCTTTTTTGTGGCTATTGAAAAATTTAAATTACACATGTGGCTTGTATTCTATTTTTAATGGGTAGCATGGTTTAGGTCTATCCACTAGTTTGTAGGAAATACAGAGAATAAAGGAACATTAATCACACAAGGAATGACTGCCAAATCCAGAAGATGGGAAATTCCACAAGAAAAATGATCTGATTTCCTTATAAAAAAAATTTTTTTAAAGGTTGGGACAGTTATTAAAAGAAACATAAAAAGATAAGTCAAGCAGATAAAAACTAGAGATAGCTTTATGTAGATCCTGAGTAGAGCCAAAAGTAAAAACATTTTTGGAAAAAGAAAAAAAGGAGGAAAACTAGAACACAGAAGCTATCAGATGATATTAAGCAACTGTTAAAATTTTGTTAAGCATGATAACATTAGGGCCTTAAAAAACACACATCTGTTAGAGTCACATTCTTAAATATTTATAGATGAAATTATATACCGTATTAGATTTGCCTTAAAATACTTTAGGCAAAAGAAAAGAGGAGGAAAAGATAGAATAGCAACACTGATAACCGGTTACGGGTACATGGAGATTCATTACATTAGTTTAACTCGTGTGCATGTTTGAGAATTTCTAAATTAAGTAAAATTAAAAAGTACCTGGGCTAGATTATTTACATGTCTGAGTAAATAACCATAAAGAAAAATGAAAAGTATATGGTCAAAAATCTGACACTCTCTGATCCTTAGGTTCCTGCTTTTCATGCCATGGAGAGCTCAGCTGCTTTGACAACAGGGAACACCTATTGGTCCTTTATTGCTAACGGAGCCCATTATGAACTGTGAGGCCCTCTATATCTGTGGGTTCTGAATCTGTGGATTTAACCAACCATGGATCAAAAATATTCGAGGAAAAAAATTCCAGAAAATTCCAAAAAGCAAAACTTGGATTTGCCACACATGCACAGCAATTACTTAAAAAGAGTTAATGTACAGAAGAAAATGCAAATACTATGCCATTTTATATAATGGACTTGAGCATCCTCGGATTTTGGTATCCAAGAGGGGTCCTGGAACCAATCCCTCAAGGAAACAGACAGACTTTATTAGTTTCAAAAGCTGCATATTGAGAACTATAGACGACTCTTAAGGACCCCATCTAGTTTTTGCCCCGGAACAGTGATCACAAAGCAATTTTACCAAAGACTGCTTATAAAAATATTCTTTTCCAGTCCTGATTTCATCTAATTAGACTTGAAAAAAGAGGAACAGAGAGCAGCACCATTCACTTTTCATTAAGTGGGTAACTGAAACCTTGGGCACCAAAAATGCCTGTACTGAACAAAGGAATTAAGAAAATAAAAGAAGTCCTGATACCAACAATGTGAGCTTCTGGATCTCTTACCTGTAGCCCAATATTCAGGTATAAGAAGCCAATAGAGCCCCTCTCACCCAGTTCATCCTGCTTCTCAGTCCCACCCATTTCCACAATACACAAGGACTCAGGCTGGGCTGGAAGAGCCTGCATGCTTAGAGGTTGCAAACAGTCCTAAAGGGGAAAGAGACAAGAATAAAACATGGTAAGTGACCATCTGGGAAAAAACCTAACCAGAGAAACCCAATTCTAGGAGTGAAGAATAACTTTCTTGTGACAGGGAAAACCTGAGGAGTGAATTATAAATAGGTAGTGGGCTACTAGTTAAACTGAACCTTAGAACAAGCTCTAGAGAGGATCACGCTTTCCTCTTTTTGTAAAAGTGGATAATGGTAAAAGTAAATAAGCAAAGGGCACCTCAAATATTAAGATCCTCTTCTGTAAACAGTCTTGGGGTTTTTTTTTAACTAATAAAGGGAGTCAAGACTTATGGCGAAGAAGCATTTCGTAGTTTTATTTCATAAGTGTTTTTTGGGGGGCAGGGAGAGGAGTGGTAATCGGTTTATTAACTAACGGAGGTACTGGAGATTGAACCCAGGACCTTGTGCATGCTAAGCATGCACTCTACCACTGAGCTACACCCTCCCTCCGAATTTAGTAGTCTTAGACCTGCATCTCTCAAGCACTGTAGAAGACTTCTGGGGTGTGCTGCTACAATAATCAGGAGAAGGAAAAGGTACAGATTTCAGGGTCCAGTCTAGCTGATCTCAGAGAAGAACATCAGGAATGGACCAGGTGCTCAGATTCCAATAACTGGAAAATCCTTGAAGTCAACAGTGACACTCACCGAGGGATCCAGGGAGATGATTCTGACAGTGTTGTCCACCAGCCCCACAGCCAGGAAACGAGACCGCTGCTCTCCAGGGGGCACGTTGGCCAGACTCATGCACACCACATCTGCTGACATTTCCTTCCGCTCTGTGTACTCGTTCAGCTGTCCTGACTACAGGAATGGAGATGAAAAAAGGTCACAAGCCACTCCAATTCACCCCCAAGCCCTGAACCTGGGGAAGAAAAGGGGGCTTGTTAAGTTCCTTTTGGCTTCCTCTCACTCTTCTCACTATAATCAATGACTAAGAATTTCTCTACTTGAGGTTCCAAGACTAAATTCTACAGTATTTTGCAAACAGCAAGCAAAATTACTGACAAGAGAATCAAGAGACCTTTGGCAATATAATGCACCACAAATTTCCTAAGCCAATCTAGCTCTCAGGAAATGGAAATATACAAAACTGTTTATTTGTTCATGAAAATACTTTGGGTGAAAGAGAATTCAAATAAGGACAAAAAAAAACACTCAATCATACGTAGTTAGACTATACAGTTGGCCATATCCAGAGACATCCTGAGACCATAATTAAGTATACCTAACATCCTTCTATATATAAAAGTAAAATAAAATTTCCAAAATTGATTCAGATCGTAGATTAAATGTATGGCAAATAGTTGGCAGAAAGTACGAGTGTGAAGGGCAGAAAAAGTGTTTCATTGCTAAGATGGGATTTACTAACTCAAATTAGAATTAAAGACATGAAAACGTATCCACCTTCAACTCCCATGAAAAGGGCTTTTGGACTCTTTCCCTCCTCAATTCTCTTTCTCGTGAATATTTAATCTAGATATCTGGATTGCAACTCCTATCTTCACCTCTGAACCCTAAGTAAGTCCCACAGTAAAGGGTAAAATAACATACGGGATCCATCTCAAAATAGACCAGCTCTCCTCCTGTTAGGGCGATCACCACTTGTCGCTGGTTCACTGCACATTTCACAATTGTTTTCTTTCCAGGAGTCTTCCACTCATTGACTCTCTTGTCTGCTCGTATGTGCCGAATGCCATCAGGATACACCTAGAGGCAGTAACAGAAAGAAACCTGACTTTAGCAATTTGACTTATCACTCAAGCATGACCCTGACACCTATCAGACCTGTCAGATCTAGAGGCACTGCATTTGACGTACCAGTTGGGTCAATGAAAAAAGAGTTAAGAGGGACCAGTCAGAGTTAACTTCAGAAGAGTTCGTATTTTGCAACATCCACATCAAAGAAGTTTGTAGCATCCAGCTTTATGTGAACCCAACAGCCTACACCATAATGAGATCAAAAAAAGGACAAAGGTGAGCAGTTAAGCAGCTCTCTGAGAATCCTCACCTGCACCAAGGCATCATCTCCTAACAAGGAGCAGGATAAGGTTGGGGTAGTGCCCAGAAACCCAGAGTCAGTCACTTCCTCCACAGTCTCTCCGATGGACAACACCAGTGTGGCATTCACGAAAGACACAATAATGTAGGCATCAAACTCATCTGAAAAAGGAAAAAGAAAGAAGTTGGTTAGCTAAGAATTCATTAGTTACAAAGCCAAATGAGACACACTAAGTTTTCTCTTCAGAAACCTTCGAAGGCTCTTCTATGTGTAGTCATCAGACACACAATCATGTGGAAAACAGCATAGGATGATCCAAAAGGTAACTGAGGGTCGTAACAGCCTACAGACATACTTCCTTAAATAGCTAAACAGTACATAGATTAGACATGCCCATATCTAATACCTCTGCAAGCTAATATTTTCTTGAGACATTTGCTAGAAAAATGCAAGAGGACAAAGCAAGAGGAAAATTTGAATATTACGGTATTTGTACATATTGAAGCTAGAGCCTGTTTATTCATGCGAGATGCTAATCACAATCCATTCTTGAAAGATACTCCCTATTACCAAGAAAGGTCTCCATCTTCTTCCAAAAGAAGCTTATGGGGGAACACAAGACCTAACGAACAAAATAGAGATTAAGCCTCCATGAAACTAAGTCTTTCTAGGGTTGGAAACTGAGATTTCCAAGATGTCCCAATAGGAGTGATGTATAAATACTGTATAACCATGAAAGGGATGAGGTAGTTGATATTGTCAGCCCTTTGACCTCTCTAGTTTTTCACATTTAAAAATATAACTATTCAGTGGTCATGAGGATTTGCTTTTTATTTAATAAAATGTATTTGGATAACAAACACAAATGAGTTTCTCAAGGAGGTCATATAGGCAATCCCCAAAGTTTCTCATGCAGATCCCAGTTAATCTATTTCTCATACATTCCACCCTACAGCACAAAACAGCTTTTGCGTCTCACATCCAACACGATGTTTGGCATAAAGCTTGATAAATGCTAAATAAAGGTATATATTTGTTTTTTAAAAAAGAATTAAGATTTTCCTACTTAACATTTGAATTTTCTGTATCAATTCCCCTCTTTCTGTCCCCTTCACACAGAAATCAGGCAAACATGGGACAGAATGACAAGTAGACAAGGTACTAAAATTGGAGTGGCTACCTCACTCTTAGCAGAAGTAGCTAAAAGACCCTGCTAGCCTAAGCCCTTGTTAGAGCTCAATGCCATAGGTCTGATCCATCCTACCCATATCAAGGACATAGTTTGGATTTTTTTGGAGCATTTTTATTTTTTAGTACCATATCTAGTGATAAACTTTTCTTAAGAATGATATACTTGGACCATTCTTTATTTTCAAAGTTTTGCCAGCCAGATGAACAAGATTTCTTTTCTTTAAACTGAAGTATAGTCAGTTTACAATATGTCAATTTCTGGTGTACAGCATGTTTGTCATACATATACATATATATACTCGTTTTCATATTCTTCTTCACCATAAGTTACTATGAAATTGAATATAATTCCCTGTGCTATACAGAAAAAACTTGTTGTCTATCTATTTTATATATAGTAGTTAGTATCTGCAAATTTCGAACTCCCAATTTATCCCTTCCCACCCCCTTGCCCCCTGGTAACCATAAGTTTGTTTACTCTGCGAGTCTGTTTGTTTTGTAGATAAGCTCATTTGTCTTTTTTTTTTTAATTCCACATACAAGTGATATCATATAGCATTTTTCTTGCACTTTCTGGCTTACTTCACTTAGAATGATTATCTCCAGGTCCATCCATGTTATTTTTAATGGCTGAGTAGTATTCCATTGTATAAACATAACAGCTTCTTTAACCAGTCATATGTCGATGGACATTTAGGTTGTCTCCACATCTTGGCTATTGTATACAGTGCTGCTATAAACACTGGAGAACATGTATCTTTTTAAATTAGAGGTCCCTCAAGATATATGCCCACGAGTGGGATTGCTGGATCGTATAAGTCTATTTTTAGTTTTTTGAGAAATCTTCAATACTTTTTGCCATAATGGCTGCACCAGACTACATTCCCACCAACAGTGGAGGATTCCCTTTTCTCCACATCCTCTCCAGCATTTATCATTTACGGACTTTTTAATGATGGCCATTCTGACTGGTGTGAGGTGACACCTCACTGTAGTTTTGATTTGCATTTCTCTGTTCATCAGCAATATTGAGTATTTTTTAATGTGCATACTGGCCATTTGTATGTCTTCACTGGAGAATTATCTGTTTAGTCTTCTGCCCATTTTTGGATTAGGTTGTTTGGTTTTTTTTGTTATTAAGTTGTATGATCTGTTTATACATTCTGGAAATTAAGCCCCTGTCAGTTACTTCATTTGCAAATATTTTCTCCCTTTCCACAGGTTGTTGTTTTGTTTTGCTTATGGTTTCCTTTGCTGTGCAAAAGCTTTTAAGTTTAATTAGGTCCTATTTGTTTATTTTTGCTTTTACTTCTATTGCTTGAGTAGACTACCCTAGGAGAACATTGCTAAGATTTATGTCATTAAATGTTTTGCCTATGTTTTCTTCTAAGAGGTTTATAGTGTCTTGTCTAAAACAAAGTCCTGAAGCCATTCTGAGTTTATTTTTGTGTATGACGTGAGGGGAGTGTTCTAACTTCACTAATTTACACGTGGCTGTCCAGTTCTCCCAACACCACTTGCCGAAGAGACTATCTTTTCTCCACTGTATATTCTTGCCTCTTTGTCTAAGATTAATTGACCATAAATCTGTGGGTTTATTTCTGGGCTCTCTATTCTATTCTGTTGATTCATGTCTGTTTCTATGCCAATACCATGCTGTTTTGATTATTATCAGAGCTCAGTGCCATAGGTCTGATCCATCCCACCCACATCAAGGACATAGTTTGAATTTTGATTGCTCCAAAGGTGGTTCAACTGAACTAAGATTACTTGTCATTTTCAATAGAATCAGTGTTCTTCACAGCAAAAAGGGCCAGATGAAAATGTATTAATACTGGTATAACCTATATCAGCATTCTGACCTATTAGCAGGACATAAAATCAACTTGGTGGATTTCAATCAGCATTTTAAAATAGAAATATAGAAATAAATGTAATTTATGATAGTGCTTCACACATAGTAACGGTTAAGTACTGTTTTGCAAAACTTTTGCTTCAGTTAATAATATCTGTGTATATCAACTGGGTGGCTGAAGAAGTTAAGGATCAAAGATCTTTCCCGATGGTTGTAATCTAATGGCTACACCAGGAATCCAGAGTAAGGGTTCAATTTCCAAATTAGGAGTAACACTAGACAAACAGTTGATTTTAGATTATTTTGTTGTAAAGTGTCAACATGTATCACATACCCTGGGGACACCTTATAAAATGGCTTTTTAAGACCACACTGTTCACCACCATAAAATATTGAGTATAGATATGGTTATCCCCAAAATGGTATCTTAATAGCTTACAACAAACCCAACATCAGTCTTCACACAACACCAAACTTACAAGCTTTACTCCAGCCCTAAGTTTTTGAACTGGAAATTTTTGGTGTGTAAAAACAACAGGAATTGCTTAATTTTAACGTTAAATGAATACTGTGTCCTTTCCTACATTCTCAACACTGAAACCTAGTATCTTAAAAAGCCCTGTCAAAGCAAATTAAAGCCAAACAACAAAGGGCTCTAACTGGCCAAGATTTCGGACTCTTCTTGCAGTTAAGGGGAAAGGAGGGCATCCAGGAAAAAAAAAACACAAAACCCAAATCATACATTTTAAACTTGTATGTAGAGAATGGGGGGAATGAGGAAAAGGGCTGCTTAAGTTCCTTATCTTCTCTTTGACCCAAGGTCCCAAATTGCTCAGACATAAAAATAAAGATGCTCGATGGACTGTGAACTATGAGTATCTATGTTGTCTTCTTCCAGAGGCTGCAAGTTTCATCTAAAAGAACATGAGTTCATACCTCAGTGAAGAATCTATCAGCGTATGAAGATACATCTTTGTCTGTTAAACAGGACTTCCATCTGTCTGAGCAATGTGTAAGCAGCCCACAGAAGAGGGAATGCTTTATTCTCTTTCCACTACCTTAGTATCTCAAACTCAACAAACAGCCCACTCCAAAGGGTAAAGGGAGTGATCATCCAGATAATTTAGGCCTCCAATATCTCATTTTCACTTTATATTCAGACTACTCAGTCCTTGTCTTGCCTCAGCACAGTCCTGATTATACTCAAAAGAAAAAGAGAAAAAGGGGGACTTTCTCCAGGGCCTAATCTTTTCAGTCACTACACCTGGAACATACAGAAACTCCAAGGGAGTATAAAGTTAAGGTTTTCTAGCTACAGCTCTTTCAAAGTAATGAAAGACAAAATGATTATGTTTCACATCCTGTGGGAGAAAGTAAGAGAAGCTGATTCCTGCCTCAGACTACTCAAAGATGGGTATGCACCTAGTGCACATGGACAGCCAACTGCAAAGTTACCCTCTGAGAGATGTTATCAGGGCAGCCTCTATATTTTGTGCAGTTCCCTCTCCCTGGGTAAACTCTAAGACCCCATGGTAGACCCTGGCAATAGGTACACACCTGTGGTGATCAGCACCTTCACAGCCACCTGTGGAAGAGAAAAAAAGGCTTGGTATTGGTAGTGTGCATCACCAAGTACCAGCCAAAGTTAGTAGTTGCCTGGAAGACTGCAGCATGTGTGGACATGTGGAATGTTCACTCAACAGTAACTAAGGGTATCTGAAAAGAGAATAAAGAGAAAGAACCTGACCTGGTTTTGTGGATGACTGCCCAAATTATAGTTTCTAAAGAGTAAAACTTATCAGGTTGTAATTATTTCCTAGATTTTGGTATTTAGAGGAGAAAATTTTTCAGCTACAAATTCCATCATGCAACATACTGCTTATCACTAACTTATCAAACATCACCCCAAAACCCTTTCCTGGTTCTTAAAAACGTCTGTTCCCTCTTCTCTAACCCTTCCTGGCAACATGCCTCTCATCACATCAGAACACACAAAAGTTTTGTATACTTGTCTTCTTTTTTAGATGGCAAGTACTCTTAACAGTGGGGATCCTATCTTACTTACTCTGAGTACAAGGTAGACACTCAAAAGACAGCAGGCTGAAGAATACTAAACTTATCCAAGAAAACCAGCAGGACCCAGACTCCCATTGCAAGGTTAGTCAAAGGAGCAGTGGATGGGGATTCAGGAGACAGGGCTTTCAGTCTCTATCACCTAGGTGTGCTATCTTGGGACAGTCAACCCCTGTGATTTTCTGCCTTCTTCATAAAAATGAGGGGTAACTTTTCTGCAAATACAAATCTATTTTACAATAAAGTTTAATAATTAAAAACAAACAAAAAAGAGGAACACATTAGGTTTTATCTCAAAGGTTCTTTCTACTTCAGTTTAAGCAAAGTTTTCAAGACCCTTACTATCAACCAGTCAACCAGCCACCAATCTAAACGTGAACATCAACACTGACCAGTTTCTTTATGAAGACATTACGCAAAATGGGGAAATCTTTCAAAACCAAGCATCTAATAATTATCTTCTTCTCAGCTAAAACGAAACTAATTTCCTATTCACTTTTTTCTTTTTATTGAACTCAGATTGGATTCCAATCCCTACATGAAAACAAAATCCATTAAAATGTGTATTCTACTAATAGAGGTTTCCCTCCTACACATTTCCTAGCTCCCTTAATTTGTTCCATACAACCAAAACATCTAAATATCAGAAAGATTTCCAGCTGCTTTCTTGAAAAAGCTTTGTATACTGGCCAGTCCCACATTCCTGAGGGAATAAGAGAAAAATAAAGTCTAGGAGTAGAAATGACCTACAACTCCAAAGAATTAAACAGAAAATGAGAATTGAATTTTATTTCTAAGGGACTGAAATTCAGTTGTCACAAGACTTTCCTGTTGTTGCACTACTACTCATTTTCACATAACTTTCAAATTTTTAGGATGAGGTGACCATTTGTATTCAGGAACTCAGATTTCCTCTTTCTTCCATCCCTTCTTTTCCACTCACTCTAAAATTCTGATTCCATTCAATCAGCCTCTGCTTTCCTTAAGCACATACTCATCCACTAAGCAGGACTGACTAAGCTTTACAAAATCTCTTAATACGTAGAATAACACCTTCAATTCACTGTGATTTCAGCACAAGAGAAAACATGGTTGAAGAAAAATGAAGCAGCAAAAACTTCACCTCTATACCATACCTCTTACAGACGGAAATAATATCTTAAAGATGATATAGTCAAAGAACATGACACATGGCAGAAATAGCTCTATCTATGATACTTAAGTATATAGGTACTGAATATTAACAGCCACCCTACACACCCATTATCCATGTGTACAAATAGTTACTGAAGGCATCCTGACTGCAAGAGCCTCAAAAACATGGTATTGGGCCAGATTCTAGTATATGGTGCTAGATGAAGTGATATAGAAGTATTACAAATACAGCTTCTTAAGCCTTCTATTGTCAATGGCACCCAGACCCTCATTTCGACTGTCAGGAAAGGACTGCTTACCTTCAATGTGCCGACGCACTGTCCAGACAGCATTGGGGTTACCAGGTAGCTCTGAGACAGCCATTTCTGATACCTGACAGAAGAGACAAACCACATATCCAGTGAGTATGAAACTCAGCTCCTTGCTCACAACTACACAAGCTAACACAGTTCCAATATGGCAGGAATCACACTGTATATACTAAATTAAAAGAAAGGAACCATCCAGTCAGAAAGTACGTAAGAACCAAAATGCAAGAGGTAATAGCAATCCCCATAACAGACTTCAACAAGCAGCAACAGGATAATTGTTGCATCCAAACTCACACAAAAAAGTGAGCATGTGGGAATGAAACAGGCCTTTTAAGTTAGCATCCCATTTCTTTCTCTCACTCCCATAAGGCCAAATTCCAACTCTCTTCACAGAACAATTCAAATGTTACATCCTTTAGGAAAAATCTTCCCTTATCCTCTTGGCTGGCAGTCATCTCCTCTTCCTTCTATAAGCTCTTACAGAAATCACAATCGCCACCTCTTAGGATACTTACATAAAAAGTGATCTGAGGAACTGTTTTGTCCTTCCTACTAGATTTTTACACTCCTTAAGGTCAGAGTCAAGAATCCTCTGAATGTCCTACTGGTTCTTAAATGAGAACTCAAATGATCTAGAGGGGAAAACTGGGTGTGGGTCACACATGAACTGCCCTATACTGTCCTTGTAATTCTTCTGTAAATCCAAAACCATTCTAAAATAAAAATTTTATTGAATATTTCTTAAATGATGTAGAGACAAAAAAATAAGCAGCCTAAAACACTGTACCTTTTATAGGAAGAACTCAAGTACATATGTGAAAGGTATTACTCTTTCGTTGGTTTACTGATGTAATAATAGGAGTACCTGATCATGGTACAGGAGAACCCTAGAAAGCTTCATCATCAATAAAATGTAAATGTCAGGTATACTACAGTCTATACACTGAATGTAGTATCTGACAGTGTCCCTGCTCAACTGAGACCATAATCTAGCTAGACAATAAGGTTCAACAAACAGACATAAAGGAACACAGCAATATTCAAGAATTTGAAAATATTTTTTATATATAACAAAGACATTTTTTATAGAATTAGGAAAAAGTGAGAGGGGGCAGGGGCTCCAAAACAATGATTCTTAATTGAATCCTTTATCTTTTATACCGTACACAAATTTTCTGTAAATGCATGTATGTATTTTTTGTGTTGAGTACTTGCTTTCATTCAACAGCTACTCAACAGGATCCAATGAGCAGTAACTAATCAAGAACTACTGGTCTCAACTGCATTCGAATCATTGAAAATTGGGTGACCTGATGAATGCCAAAATACTCATTTTGGCAGAGTTAAAATGTTTTTGAACAGCAATATTAATAGCTAACACTTATTGAATATTGAACAGTTACCGTATGCCAAACCTTGGTAACTGCTTCCTATGCATTCTCATTTAATTCACACAACAATCCTTTAAGGCAGGTGCTGTTATTAAGCCCATTTTACAGAAGAGGAAACAAAAGCTTAGTGATAGCTATTTAGTAGTAGTAGAGCCAGAATTCAAAACTGAGGTCATCTTGCCAGTGTTTCAATAAAAATTAACAAAAATAGGCAGTAGCCCTCTAAGAGTCTGGAATTTGCCAACCCCAAGCTCTAAAAGCAAACTGTCACAGGAAGCTTTATTTTACTCCTAACAAAATCAAGTCCAGGGCACTTGCTAAAAGGCATCAACACTAGAACCATGATGAGAAGAGGTTATGGGATCTGAGAAGATAATTTTGTCCATATTTTTTAGGTGTCCGTATCACCCAGAAAGTCCAACAATAAAGGATTCATTAAATAAATTACAACCCACCTACTATGGAGGTTTATTGCAAAAACATTAAAAATAGCATAACTTTAGAGTACACAGTAATAAGGAATAAATTAAGTAAGATACAAAAATGTATACAAAGTATTAACAGTTTATAAGTATCTAAAAACTTTGAATTAAGACCTAAAAGTAAAGGGAGTAAAACGTGCCATGCAGATTTCCTAATCTCCATGAACCTAGAACTAATAAAGGTGTTTTTCCCCTTTTATCTCCATTTGCCAAATTTTTCAAATATGCCCACCGTGCCAACATGATAAGAATAGGACATGTACACTCTAAACTGTATGGAAGTAAGGAAGGAAGAAAACATTGTTTCACAGAAACATTAAATACATTTTTAGTCTCATCAGAATAAAGCCAAAGGTTGCGTTATCAATGCTTCCCTCCAAACTCTGCAGATGATCTAGCAATTTCAATCTTACCTCAAGTCCATGCCTTAAGACTCTCAGAGATGACCGGGGTCCCCTACCACAGGCCACATACAGCTGTGGAGTGTCTTCATTGGCCAGATCAGCTATCTGCAAGGAGAAAGTTAGGGGGGAAAATGTCTGCTTGTGATAATTCTCCGCACCCAAACCTGATTATTCTCAGGGAGACAAACCACTTTTTAGTAGGTAAGGCTTTTTAGTATATTAGGCTGTAAATATTGCTACAGTTTCTGGGGGTATGGAATGAAAAAGACCCAACATTCCAAAAAGCAAGCCAGTCTGAAACAAGTTTTACCAACAAAAAGAGGCTTATATAGCTTCTTGAGTTAATGAAGTATTTTTTTTTTTACAGTAAGTGAAGCTGTTATATAACAAACTAAAACTTTGGTGTTTCCTTCCAACTAAAAATATAGATAATAAACTATATGACCATTATCTGTGACTCTGTCACCAACATTAAAGTTTACAGATACCGCCAATTATCACTTCTCTCATCACTACTTCAAAATTGTATTTTTTAGACCTGCTGCTAGAATGCACATGATCAGTTACCCTATCTACAGATGTTCTTATGATTTGTCTGATCAACTAATGGGTAACTTTGCACCTGGTCGTTTGCCACCAAATGGGGAAGCCATGTGTTCTTGTACTAGTAACCCAGACATCTAGCTGCTTTCCAGTACAATTAGAGGTCAGTTATTTGTATTTGTAATTTTGTCAAGCTGTACAATTCAAATGAAAATTTTTGACTGCCTGTAAGGCAGTGCCGCCTACTGTAACATGGATGAACAAGCGGCTTGTGAGCGTATACAGCCTTTACACTGATTTCTTAAAAAAATTAACTCACCTATTTTAAAAGCATCTTGTTATTTTAAAGCCCATTACAGAAGCACATATATTAATTTTTCACAACCTAAAAAATTACTTGCTATCTTGACAATCGTGTTTATTACTATATACATTTAAAAATATTATTCAGAGAGGGGATGCAGATGACTCATCAGGCTAGAAGAAATACGTAGCAAAAAATGCTTACAGTACTGCTAAAGATACCTGAACTTCCTGTTCATTTTATTCTTGATCTACAAACTATTTACACAATTATTTCCTCAAATTCCAATGAAAATGGAAAAAAAAATTACTAATAACCCAATTAGGAATTACTCATACTTATTTTCTACTGCCCTTAGAACTAACCCTTTCCCAGGAAGAAGGAAAAGCAGTTAATTTCAGAACTGTTCATTTTGCCAGGAAGAGTGACTGATTGCCGACCTGAGTCCCTAGCACACAGTTAGCAAAACTCTCTCTTACTGAAAGTATAATCATCTAGACAAGGTCAGGTGGTACCTAATGATCACTGGAACCCAAGGAAACCAGGATACACTGACATGATAAAATTCCTGTTACACTTGAACACCAGTAGTGGGAGACAAAAATCCCCATCCTGGGCCACCCTGGTTTCCTAAAAAGGCTCTGTTACTGAATGATCCTAGTGTCTCTGGAGTATTTTAAGGAGGAAATGAGTGTTAAAATGAGATAAATAAAGGAATTCATAGACTCTTCAGTGATAAAAGGTCTATTTCAGAATCCCGTGATGAGGGCATTACATTAAAAAGAAAAACACACATGCTTATAGGTGCAGAGAAAATGCCTGGAAACAATCACTGGAAGCTATTAATGGTGAAGGATTGGTGCAATGGAGGGTTGAAAAGACTGGGGGTAGGATTTTTTCTTTTCTTTTTTTTCCCCTCTAACAAAAGATTTATTGGTCTGTGGTCATTAACTGAGAAGTCAATTTAACAAGGAGGGCCTCAGTTAACATTTTTGTGTCAAGTAACATGCGTTTAGAACTTCTCTGGAGAGAGCACAGAATGAAACTCTAATCACGAGTGAGAAATATTTAATTACTGCCCCCGTTATTGAGCCAACAAATATTTACTGTGCACTCAACTCAGTTTGCCACTGTCTTTAGAGGATACAAAAATTCATGGCTCCTGATTTTTAAGACCTAATATTCTTTGAAAGATAAAACATGTTTGAAAAAAATCTCTAATTCAGGGCTTTATATGCCAACTGCTAGAGGTGTACCTCAGTCAAAGTTCTAAAAAAGGTGAAATTACATTTAACAAGGCCAATGGGAACAGCTTCAAAGGGAAGCAGAACAGAGATGGGCTGGGCTTCCCAATAAAAGAATCCAAATCCTTCACCATGGCCCAGGTATTTTTTTTTTTTAGCTTTGTACAATCTGAATTTTTATAAAACAAGACTTTTATAATAAAAAAAAAATTAAGCCCTAGGATTTATGTGATGGTTTTTAATCACCCAAGTACCTTTAGCTGCTTCACCCTTAACACTGGCAATTCCACAGACATTCTGCTAAACCTAACTCTTAAACTAGACCTTAATTTAATTGGAGTTAAAACCTTAAATTCATTCAGATTAAAAACCAGCTGGCTGGCATTGCTCATTATAGTGACTGAAAAGACCCACACCTGGCAAAACAAAATGGGAGAGAGGCTGTCCAACTCATCAACCAGCACAAGGTTTTTGAGTGGTCTTGGCTGAAAGAAGAATGTGTCTCCTTCTTCCAGAGGCATGGCAGATGAAAACTCAGGTTCTTCATCATCATCTCCAAGATGTGCAATTTGATATAAGTAACTGGGGAAAAGCAAAAGACTTTAGTTAAAATGCTTTGTCTTATGTACAACATGATAAGTATAATTAATATGCTATATATGGAAGCTGTCAAAAGACAATAAATCCGAAGAGTTCTCAACGCAAGGGAAAAAAATTTTTTTTCTATTTCTTTAATGTTATACCAAATGAGATGATGGATGTTCACTAAACCTACTGCAGTAATCATTTCATGACGTATGTAAGTCAAATCATTATGTTGCACACCTTAAACTTACACCCATGTATGTCAATTATATCTCAACACAACTGGAAGAAAAAAAGCAAATAGCATTTTTAAAAAATTTTCTGTCTGAAGATGTTTGCCATCCAGATAATGCTCATAAATCACTTTATGCTGAGTCAGCATCTATAGTTTGAAATCTCTGCTTATGAGTGAGCTTTTCTACTTAAGAGCAGGGGCAAAAAATGTAAGACTATTGAATTCAAACTGGTACAGTGACAAGAAGTTACAGCATACAGTGGTTAAAAAGCACTGAGCCTCGACTAGAGTGCCTGGATTTGAATCCTAGTTCTGCCCCTCAGTTGTGTTATTACTTTATCTCTCTGTGCCTCACTTGTCTTGTTTGCAAAATTGAAAAATACTTTCCTATAGAATTCAATGAGTACTTAGAGCATTACATCGCATCTAATAAGAACAATTTTTGTCAAATAAAATGAAATATGGATAAAGGAAATCCAAAGAAAATCTATAACCACTTCCCATTTTAACCATTAACCAGGCCAAATCTAACAAAAAAACACTGATGACTTTGTAAAAGTATGCAGATAATATTATTCCTAACAACGAAACATAAACATATCCAGAAATAATAAGCAACAAAATCATCTTGCTTTTCTGTCTGTCCTCTGGCTCTATAAACTGAGTCAAACACAAAACACACACACACAAAAAAAAGAGAGAGAGAAAGAGAGAGAGAACGGAATTTAGGAGTAGATAATCTGTAACAATATACCATCACAAACTGAGTATGCAATGAGCCTACTTGTGGGAAGCAGCTCAATTAAAATAAAACACTACACTGCTACTGGTCATGTTTATTCTTTAAGTAATACAGCAAACCTTCAATACAAAGCGCTTTGAACAACTGAATGTAGCTTTTTAGGAGCAGGATAAATGATTAAATCAGGGTCTCAAATAAGCCAAATAAACATCAGCATTTAACTTTGGTAAACCCATCAGATTCTATGCTAAATTATGGAAAAGCAAGTAGTTGTTATCCTTGAAAGATTTACAAATGCACTGAGAAGACAGAATATAAAAAGTTAAGTAATCCAAACTCCTTATTCAGGCAAGGTGTCTATATACAGATGATAAAGATCACCTCTCAAAGATACCTTCCCTGTCTAGTAACTGCTAGATAACCAAAAGGATGCTGGGTTCACTATCTCTATCACAGGAAAGGTTGCTCTGGTTGAATCAGTTTCCGTGACTATAGTGCTATGCTTCAGAGCAGGAACTTTGGAACCAGGTGGTCTAGGTTTTAGTCAGATTTAGTTGTGTGATCAGATTTCTTAAATTCTGTGACACCAGTTCCCTAAACTATAAACGGGATAACAACACTGTTATAGAGTATGTTACTCATTAATATTTGTAAAGTGCTTAGAACATAGTAAACGGTCAATTAAGTGTTTGATAAACAGGTTGCCTTATCAGTTAACACCCATAGTACATGTTTCTGATATCCCAAATCACCACTCTTAAGTCTTCTAGATTTCAGCAGCAGCAGTAATGGCTAATTTCTCACAAGCTCAAACCCATCTCACTCTGATAAATATCCCATCTGTGCATTGTAAGCTTTCTGGACTCTGCCCCAAAACATCTATTCCAGGAGAGGTTGCCTGAGCAACAGAAGGTACAGGAGAGATCATGCCCCCAGGAGTAACTTTCAACCCAGGAGGGAGAGGAGCTGGTGTTAACCTCCAGGCGGCCAATTTCAGAGGCATTTTGCATGCTTCTCAGCAGGTCTTGACAGAAGCCAGTTCCCATAGCCCACAGCAGGAACCTTGGCAACACACCCTTAATATTGGCTTGTCCTCTTTCCCTACCTCTCCCCACTGATCTCTCATTCTTGCTTCCTGCAATTACCTCCCAGTAATCTACCTGGCACCTTAGTCCTTTTCTCAGGCTTTGCTTACAGGAGAACCCAAGATAAGACAATATAAGAAAAGCATTCAGAACAGTGCCTGATACATACAGACAAGTACTCAACAAATGTACACCACTATTCTTCAGAACAAAAGAAATCATTGTCTGTATTAAAAACTTTTAGAAGACTTTATAGACTATAGGGATGTGTAAATCCTAGCAAACACACTATCTGCACAAGGTAATAGGCAAGAAGATAATACCTTATGCCTGCAGCTATCGCCTTATCAGTACAGGTTATTATCTAAGTTTTTAATGTCTGCCATCTACTAGATGAAAAAAATGGTACCCTCTTTTGACTGGCATTCTTTCAATTATGAATGAGCTTAAAAATCTTTTTACATATTATACCTATAGACCACTGGTATGTCTTTTACTGTGAAAAGCATGCTCAAATCCTGTAACCATTTTTCTATTGACTGAACTGCCCATTTTTATTCAATGATTTTCAAAAGCTTATTAACTCTCCCTTTGTCATGTACTGAGAAGAAAAAAGGTTCCTTACACCGTTGGTGGGAATGTAAAATGATACCATCTTTTGAAAGACAATTTGGCATTCCTATCAAAATCTCACCCCACATACAGGAATTTTACCATGGCTTTATTCAGCTAACGTGCCAAGATATACCCACAACGTCCATTTTAGCACTGTTTATAACAGCAGAAGTACAAACCACCTAAATACCCAGCAATAGGGGATATAGCCATAAAATATTATGTAGCCATTAAAAATGTATACTGTACACCAAATGCAATGTATGGGTCTTGCTAATATTCTGATCTGAACAGATCAACTGGAGAAATATTGAGACAATAGAGAAATATGAATATTGACTGGCCATTTGATTATATTAATAAACTATTATTATTTCGGGGAGGTGTAAATAAAATAAGATTTGCCATGGGTTGGCCTTTGTTGAAGCTGAGTGATGGGCACATGTAGTTATACTGAACAGTGTAATTCATTAATTATACTATTCTCTCTTCCTTTGTGCCTGTTAGAAAATTTCCATAATGAAAAAACAAAATAAAAATTTTAAGTGAAAAATAAAGACTCACTGATACAGAAAGTTTTTTTTAAGATGTACTGCTTTTTTGAAAAAGTAAACTAATAGTTTTTTGTAGAATGTTTCAGTTCTCTAAAATAAAACTACCTATACATGTTAAAAAATAAAGATAATGGAAGTAGATACAACAAAATGTTGAAGTGACTATTCTGGAATCCTAGGATTATGAGTAGTTTTTATTATTTATTTGCTCTTTATTCACTCTCCAAAACTTTCTACATTCCAGAGTAAAATAACAAGAATGGGATTAATCAACATTTACTGAATGCTCACACAATAAAAGTACTTCTTAGTATCTGACATTTGTATTAAATACCCACGAAATCCAGTAAGATATACATTATTATTATCCCCACTTGATAAAGGAGAAAATTGAGACATACTGCTAGAAAACATAAAACCAAGATTGTAATCCAGGCAGTGTGACTTCAGAGTTTATGGTAGACTATACTGCCTCTTCCAAAATGTCCCTGACTAAAGGATAGTATAGAAATTACGCAGAGATAGGATTAAGCAATTAACAGAAGATATACTGCTAGGCAAATAAATGAAAAAAGTCCAATCTTTTTATTAAACAAAAATTTTACCAAATTAGCAAAGCTTGATATATATATATATATATATATATATATAAATATATATATATATTCCTAGTGTAGACAATATGAAGCAAAATAGACAACATACCCTGCTGCAAAACATAAATCAGCAAAAACTTTTAGTAATTAAGCAATGTGTCAAAAACTTTGAAAACGTGTACTCTTCAATCTAGCAACCATATCCTTAAGTCTACTTAACAACAAATAAAAGCTTACTTAAGTAAATTAACTCATGCCCACATAATGGAATATTGTATAGGCATTAAAAATGATGTACATTCAACAAATAATGCTAGGACAACTGATTTCCACATGTAAAAGAATGAACTTAAACTGCTACTTAGCATCCTATAAAAATTTTAACTCATGCACACCAATGTTCATAGCAGCACTATCTACAATAGCTAAGACATGAAAGTAACCTAAGTGTCCATTGACAGTTGAATGGATAAAGATGTGGTGTGGATGTGCGCATGCGCATGCAAATGCAAATGCATACACACACACACACTGAAATATAACGCAGCCATAAAAAGAATGAAATACTGCCATTTGCAGCAACATGGATGGACCTAGAGATTATCATACTAAGTGAAGCCAGACAGAGAAAGACAAATATTATCTGATACCACTTACATGTGGAATCTAAAAGCACAAATGAACTTATTTTAAAAAGAACAATAGTAACCTAAAATGAAAAATATGAAAACAAATATACATGACTGAAACATTATGTGATATACCAGAAATTGATGCAACATTGTAAACTGACTATACTACCAAACAAAAAAAAAGAAAAAAGAAAAAAGCAGCAACAGACTCAGATATAGAATATAAACTTACAGTTTACCAAAGGGGAAAGAGGCAGGGAATAAATTAGCAGTATGGAGTTAATAAATACATAGTACTAGATAAAAAATAAAATGGAAAATAAACTTACAGTTTACCAAAGGGGAAGGGACAGGGAATAAATTAGGAGTATGGAGTTAATAAATACATAGTACTATATATAAAATAAAGCACAAGAATTTACTGTATAGCACAGAGAATTATATTCAGTATCTTATAATAATCTGTAATGGAAAAAAATCTGAAATGAAAAAATGTGAAACACAATACTGTAAATCAACTACAGCTCAATTTTAAAAAGTGGATCAACAACCTAATCATAAAAAATAAATTCATAAAACCCTGAGAATAAAACAGGGGTAAATCTTCATACCCTTGAATTTAGCAATGGATTCTTAGAATACAAAAAGCACAAGGAACAAAGGAAAAAAGGATAAACTGAACTTCATCAAATTACAAACTTTAGTGCATCAAAAAACATTATCAAGAAAATGAAGACAACTACAGAATAGGAAAACATATTTGCAAACCATGAATCTGATAACAGATTAATATTCAGAATATTAAAAAAACTCTTGCAAATAAAAAAAGACAAACCACCCAAGTAAAAAACTTAAACATTTCTCCAAAGGTAAACAAAATGACCAATTACCACATGAAAAGATACTCAACATCACTGATCCCAGGTGAAAACGCAAATCAAAACCACAAAGAAATATCACTTCACATCTATTGCCTATAACCAGAAAAGTGAAAAATAACAATCATTGCTGAGGATATGGAGATACTGGAACCCTCACACATACTAGAAATGCAGAATGGCACAGTGGCTATAGAAAAGCTCAGCAGTTCCACAAAAAGTTAACCAGGATTACCATCTGACCCAGCAATTCCACTCCTGGATACATAGCCAAACAAATTTAAAAAAGACTCAAACAGATAAATTTGCAGACCAATGTCCAATGCAGCATTTTCACAATAGGCAAAAGGTGGAAAGAATCCAAGTGTTCATTAACAGATAAACAAAATGTGGTAGACATATAGTAGATTATTATTCAAAGATTAAAAAATAAAGTGCTGATAATGCTACACATGAACCCTGAAAATATTATGATATAAGCTAAGAAAAATAAGTCAGACAGGAAAGAGTAAATGTTGTACCATTCCACTTAGGTTACTAGGAGTTAGGAAACAGGAATGGGGAATCATTCCCTAATCAGTATAGAGTTTCTGTTTGAAGTGATGAAAAAGTTTGGGAAAATGGCAGCGATGACAACACAACACTATAAATGTAATCAATGCTACCAAATTAAAGTTAAAAATGGTTAAAATAGCAAATTTTATGTTATATACATTTTACCACAAAAAAGTGGAGGACAAAAAGATGCTACCAAAAAGTAAATGATGTTAAAGATCTGTTTATTGGTATAGAAAAATATTTATCATTTATTACTATATTTTAAAAGCAAGTTACAAAAAAATACATAGTGCATAGTTGTATTGCTGTAAAAACATTTAAATATATATACACTTCAGAAGGGTACACAAAAATATCTTTGGGTAGAAGGATTATAGGTGACATTTTTGCTTACATACACGTTCTGACTTTTCGACAATGAAAATTCCTTAAGAAAAAAACTAAAAAAATAGAAATGGATTAAAAACAGACATAACAGACTTAATGTGAAAAGTGCAACAAAAGAGCTATAAATTGGGAAAAGGAGTAATAACAGGACAGTTGGAATAAAATCAATGAGGATGAACAAAAGGCATGTTAAAGGTAAGGAGAAATGGCATACAATCCCAGAATCCTAGACAACACCTTCATTTTCATTATGAAGAAATGGCTTTAGACAAGTAGTTTACACAGACTTTAGCTAGAGGTCAGATGTAATGTATTTGTCAATGAAAAGCCATCAGAGATTGTAAAACAGGGATGTGGAAATTATTTCAGCAAAGTTGTGTCTTATCTGCTTAATGAGATGACTCTATAAAGGTTGAGTTTTATAGGAAAGAATACATAGCAATAAAAAAACTAGGGAACTAACTCAGACTAGTACCACAAAAAAGGTATACAGAAGTAAAAGCATAACTTAGCATTCAACTGAAAGTTGTGGAGGACAGCAAAAACTGAGATTTTTACACTCAAGTTGCTAGAACTGGCCCATCAGACATGAACAGAAATGGTGAGGTTGGGAGGGTTGGTGATGTGGCTGGGAAGCTGTAGGTACCAACGAGCTTCAACTGCAGATTTATGTAAGAGAAGTGTTTGTGTAACATCTATTTGATACTAAGCAGTTCAACAAATATTCAATGAAATGTTCAGCAAAAATCAAGAGATCACTTCTAAAGCTATTTTTTGCAGCTACTCACAGGTATTGATAGAAGCCACTGAAACAGAGGAAGACATCAAGAGAAAAAATGTAAAAGGGAACAGAGGGCAAAACTTTTTTTGAAAAAACTAAAACATTCCTGGGGAAAGCTCAGTGGCCTGGGAACTACATCTCCCTCCCATCAACTTTTATAGTAACCAGGGTGAAACGGGGTAATAAAAGGATTACTTACTGATTTCCAAATTCTGATGCTACAAAAAGGAAGCCTGTTTTAAGCACACACATGGCAGCAGCAACAGGCACAGTATCAAAATACTTGAGCCGGATCTCAGTAACCTAGAATAAAAGGAGAAAAAGATTCTAGTGTGTAGGCAAGTGAAGCTAGCTCACAGAAGGTAGCCCAGTATTATGATAGCTTAATAAGCAAAGCAGCAAATAAAGTACTGTCCTTCATATCCATACCAGGGGTCAGCAAACTACAGCCTGCAGATCTGGCATGCCCATTCATTTACATACTGCCTATGGCTGCTTTTGTGTAATAGCAGAGATGAGCAGCTGAGACAACCACACAGCCCACAAAAGCTGATAATGTTCACTACCTGGTCTTTACAAAAAAAGCTTGCCAACTCCTGAACTAAACAGGTATCTATTAAATTGCCTGGTATTCAGAGTTCCTCCATGGAATGAAAGTAAAAGACCATGTGTATTACCAGTTTTCATTAGACATGGAGAGCTTTCTCTTGCTATTCAGTAAAAGTAGCATTATCCAGTCTCATATTATATGTGAGACTATCAGACCAGAAATCTCTTAAACCAGAGTGGGAAAACCTACATGCATATACCAGTTCCAAGCTTTACACGTTGATTGCCCACTGTGGATTGGGTATCCCCGAGGAAACACAACTGTCACCCAGATTTGGGTGATGTGGCAATCAACGTGTTAAAAGCCTTAACATCTTACACAACCACTTTTTAAGGCATTCTGTTTCAATTTTTTTAATGTGTAAAGTATAAACTGTCCTTTCTACCTTAATGAGTAGATGCAATGAACAAACGGTTTATAGAATCACTTTGTAAACCTTAAATGTACTTACCAGTCTTTAAATGTTATATTAAAATTAGAATGAAATTGTAGGAAGTTATCAAACTAAATTAACCATAACAAATGGGTTTTTTTCATTTTTTCCCCCTTCAGCCATGGTCAACTTACCATATCTTCATCTGTCTCCAAAGTAATCTTAAAGATATCTCCCTGCTCTGTTTGGGCCAAAAAGAAGAACATCGATTTGGTCTTATGGGTGGCAGAGCAGACAAAAATCATTCCTCTTTCAGGGTCATCCAGGTCATTCTAGCAAAGTCAAATACACAACCAACATCTTAGAAATGAGTATTTCTTATTTCTGGAATTCAGCACCTTACCAACAAGGACCATACAGGCCACCCAGGGCCTAAAGGCACCTGAAACCTCTCCATACAAGCTTTGACCCAGAGCAGCCTACCAACCACAAGACTAAAACACAATAACCAAAAATCCTTGTCTACTATAGATACATAAGCCTGGGTTAAAAAAAAAAAAAAAAGCCACAACTTCACTCTACAGCCTGATCAGATCAATAAGGTAAGAACTATCTCCAAAGAAAAATGTCAGAGAAGAGACATGAAATGTAAAGAACCATCATTTCAGGCTGTGAATAAAAGACTCTTAACATGTCCACAACAATACCATCCATCATCAGTTCAATTTTTTTTTCCTATTCTGTATCAACTTCCCTGATTCCTAAAAGGCATCCCCCTTGGCTGGATTTTTTTTTTTTTTCTTTTAAGGTATCCAGCATTTTGTACTTCTCTCAGAGTAAGCTCTTTGAGGGAAAAACATGTTTTGTACTTCTTTGTAGACCCAAAGCCAAGTACAGCACTTGGGTTAGGTGCTCAATAAATTTCTAGTAAACTAAATTGAATTACTTTCCACCCCTTACTAAGAATTTAACTTGCTAATCTTATCAGATTTTCTAAAATTAATGGACTCTTACTCGGATGCCATGTAGTAGACAAACTAAGTCCTAGAACATTTAACCCCAGGACCTATAACTTAATATTAAAAAAATAAATCATCCAGGGGGAGAAGAGAGATTGAAGAAGCAGAGATCAAGCAGGATTAGCCATGTGCTGTTCATAACTGCTGAAGATGGATACACAGAAGTTCATTATACATACAATCACCCCTCGGTATCTGCAGGGGATTGGTTCAAGGAGCCCCCAATGATACCAAAATCCATGGATGCTATACAAAATGAGGTGGTAAAAGGAATAGTCAGCCCTCCATATCTACAGATGCTAACTGTAGATACAGAGGGCCAACTGCATGCTTAATAATTTCCAGGGTAAACATAAAATTAAGGTGGGCAGGCACCATCTTAACAAAGTGATCAATTCAGCATCACCAATAATGAATCAAACCAACATTATATGCCCCTAATGTGATGTAGTAAGAAATACATATCACCACCTGAGCAGTAATTCTATTGAAAATATTAACATGGATATAATCAAGTAGAAAAAGATTATGGAACAAATTACAAAAAAATTAGCCCAGACTCTTAAAAAATGTCCATATCATAAAAGACCAAAAACAAAGGTGAGAAAAAATACTCTAAATTTAAGGAGACAAAAGATATAAGAAAACTTTGAGAGATGAGAGAAACTGGTATAGGAACTGTATGTAAGAAAATCGTATTATTCAAAATAGTAAATTTCATGGGCACAATATTAATAGTATGGATATGCAGGAAAATTTCCTCATTCTTAGATGCTACATCTTGAAGTGTCATGATGCCTGCAACTTATTTTCAAATGGTTTTGCCTAAAGTACAGAGGCATATAAGAAAACACAAATGTAGCCAAAGCAATATTAATTGGTGAAACTAAGTGAAAGGCATACAAGAATCCATTGTTCTCTTTTAAATTTTTCTGTATGTTGGAATAGGGCAAAGGAGCAGGGGGTGGGGGGCAGGGGGAAGACAAACAAAAGGAAAGACAACTTATCTCCAATGAATATGCCTGGCTTCTTCAAACTATAAACTTTCAGAATTTCAAACTGATAGTGTCCACAGGATCTTCAAAAATGGAAATTGTGTTGGTTTTTTTTTAACTGAAGTACAACTGATTTACAACATCAGTTTTAGGTGTACAACATAAAATTGTGTTGGTTTTTAACTTCCTTTCTTGAAGATTTTATTTTGTTTTTACTGAAGTATTTTACTGGTTTTATTAAAAACATTTACAAAGAAACTAAAACTTGTTAAGCAGATAATGTAAGAAACTACACTATAAGTACAAAAATCAAGTTCATTTCACAAAGACAAAATATATTTTCTCTTATGGCAAACAAAGATCTTACCCGTCTCCTGGGAATTGGACAGCGGATATCTGGTTGGTCACCAAAGTTCTTGTAGGTGATATAGTTTTCAGAGCAGATCAGCACACCACTTGGACCATCTGACCCTCCGGGAACTGTCAAGATAAAATGAAATTCAGCAATGATATGACATAACCACGAATTACAATTTAGCTTTCCATCCCTTCTCTCCTTCAGCACAACTTAAAGGTACAGTGTGCCTGACGGTGAGGAACACGGTGTTTCTTTTCCCTGATAGTTATGCTAGGGAAGAATGGAGTACAGTTTGGTAGTGATCTCAGCCTGTCCTGATAACTGATAAAGCATCTAAATGTTTAGCTCCAAGCCCAGAACTCAGTTCTCAGACCTATAATCCAGCTGCCTACTGGACACTGAAATGGATATTCCATAGCAGCTTGAAAGCGAATGTATTCATAAACAAGCACCAAGTTCCTTCCCAAACCTACTCTATCTCCTGGGTTCTCCACCTTAGAGAACACTACAATTGACCAATAGACCAAAACAGAATCCAGGTTATCACCTTTCAATTCTCTCTCCTCTGACATTGAATAGAATCCCATTGATTCTAACTCCTTAGCAGTCTTAATGCTGTGAATCTCTCCTGGTTTAGTGAAACAGCTTCTGACCAGTCTCCTGACTTAAGTCTTAATCTCCTCCATTCGTTACCAAAACGTAAGTGATCTTTCTAAAATGTTCACCTTTAACATGTCGTTATTCTCCTGCTTAAAATCCCTCAGTAGCTTCCTCCCCACCACTACCTCTACCCAAGCCCTTTAGCTCTAATGATCCAATCACAATGAGCTTTCAGTTCAATGAGCCATGTTTTTTCCTGCATTAGGGACTTTGTGTATTCTGTTCCCTTTGCCCACAACAGAAATTTTTCCACCTCCATTGCATCTAGCTAACTCTAACTAGTCTTCAGGTCTTAGCTGAGAGCACTTCTTTGAAAAGCTTTCTCTAACCCATTCTCTTCCATTCCCTAGGTTAGGGACCCCTCCTCTACACTGTCATGGCATTTGGTACACTCTGGCAATTTTTTTATTACTAGTATGTGTTCACCGCTACACTCAATCTTACATAGGAGACACCACAAATATTTTTTCACCACTGCAGTCCCAAAGCCCAGTAGACTGACTCTGCACATATTGACTGTAGAGGCTCAGCAAAAATCTGTTTAATGAATGAAACTCTCGTAAGTGAAAAGCAAAGTAATATGTAACAGCAAGTAATGAGAATCTGTTTTTTTTAATTCTTCTGCTTAATATGCAGTCTCTTCCTAAGGTTTAATGCTTAAAGACTAGTGCTGTCTTGTATCATTCTTCTCCAAAATCCTCCACCAACAACACGCACATTTCATTTAAAACATCAATCCCAACACAAATGATTTGAAACAAAAGGGACTGAATCACTTACCCAAGCCTGGTGAAATTTAGATAACCACAAATACAGTTGTTCTCCTTTAGTCTTTTCAACTGATACTGATTGTTAATGGTGAACATCTCTGAGCTCCTACGAAAATCTTACTTTGTTATGGTGCATATAAAACACTCCTGAATTCGATTTACTAAAACCTAAGATTTTCATTCCCTATGGTCGTAAGTATAAGCAGCCCGCAAATTTTTCTCATTACAATCCTTCCTGTTTTGGTACTAAAGTTACATTACGCTTCTAAAGCGGTACAAAAGCTTTTATTCTTTTTCTAATCTCTGGAGAAATTTAAGGTCCCTGAAAACTCTGGACCTTAAATCTTCTGAGGGAAAGAAACATTTTTTTTCCTAGTTTCTTTTTTTTTTAATTATTTATTTTTATTTTTGCGGGGGAGGTAACTAGGTTTATTTATTTTTACAGGAGGTACAGAGAATTGAACCCAGGACCTCCTGCATACTAAGTATGTGCTCTCCCATTTGAGCTATACCCTCCCCAAGGAAAGAAACTTTTTACTACTGCTCCAATTTTTTTCAGAAATGATGGTCTATTCAGGTTCTCAATTTTTTCTTGAATCAATTTGGGTAACAGTTTTCAAAAATACTTCTATTTCATGGGGAGGGTGTAGCTCAGTGGAGGGTGCATGCCTAGCATGCACGAGGTCCTGGGTTCAGTCCCCAGTTCCTCCATTAAATATATAATAAACCTGATTACCTCCCCCCACCAAAAAAATAAGTAAAAATTAAAAAATTTTTTTTTAATTTTCTATTTCATCTAGGTTTTCAAATTCATGGACAGTTTTATATTATTGGGTTTGTTCATAATGTCTTTTCACAGACCAGGTTTTGATTTTAGTTAGAATGAAAGACTGACTACAGTCAAGACACCAGAGCAACTGACAGTAATCCATATTTCAAGCTGACTGTTCTTTCTTCCCTGACCCGACTAGAAGATAAAAGTTAAACCACTGTATGAACGTCTAACCTAGCCAAAAGGCACTCGGGTTTACTACAAATGGATTAGTTTTCAAAGCCTATTTAGTAAAGCCTCCTAAGTTTGGGCATAAAATGGACCAAGCAATATGGTACAGAGCAATTCTGAGAAAAGTACCTGTAATAAGGAAGTTGCCATGTTCTTCTAAAGGTTCACTGTATTTTCGGACCACGTGATTTAAACCAAGGTCTAACTCATAGAAAGTAAGTGTCTGCTGGGTATTAGCTGCTGCTTCCCCAGTTGGATCATTGTCTGCTTCCTATAGATTAACAGTGGCATAAAGATTAATCAGTCCCATAAAATCAAACTTTTAGGGCTGACATTTGCAGCAACATGGATGGACCTGAAGGCTGTCATTCTAAGCCAGAAGGAGAAAGAAAAATACCATATGACATGACTCATAGTGGAATCTAAAAAAAGAAAGACACCAATGAACTTATCTACAAAACAGAAACAGACTCACAGGCATAGTAAACAATCTCATGGTTATCAGAGAAAAACAGGGTGGGAAGGGATAAACTGGGAATATGAGATTTGCAAATATTTAGTAGTACATATAAAATAGATAAACAAAAAGTTTCTTCTGTATAGCACAGGAAACTATATGCATTATCTTGTACTAAACCATAATGAAAAACAATGAAAAAGAATATATGTATGAACACCAGAAATTGACACAGTAAACTGTACTTCAAAAAAAAAATTTTTTTAATAAAAAACTTTAAGGGCTGAAAAGGGCATCAGAATTCCTCTACTTAACAAATAAGGAAGGAGAGGTCCACAGATAACAAATGGTTTGCCAAAGTTCATACTACTGAGTAATGGCAGGATGGGAGCAAAACCCCAGATCTTCTATTTCTGGGACCAAGGTTAGATCTACTAGAGAATACTGCCTTTCATTCAAGGGGAAAAATGGTATGCCCCACTTTTCACTACCTCCCAGTGACAAAATATCCCAAATACAGTTTCATCTTCTTTTTGGGCATCTTTCCCCAGTAAATACCATTTCCAAAGGGAGATTGTTCAAATCAGAACAAAGTGCTATTATATAGTCAGGTAAACCCTGAAACATTCCAAAGTACTTCAGTAGAGCATTTGAATACAGAAAAAACTAGTGAGCAAGTAAGCTAAAAGACATGTACAATGAAGAAAATCTCAGGAAAGCACCAAGGTGAGTGGAAGAAACCCAAAGGAGAGAGGGGGAGAGGAGAAAAACAGAGAGAGATGGATACTCCTCCATTACCTCATAATCCATTTCCAGACAAGCAAACATTGGATTTTCGAATCCCACATCTACTCCAACAACATGATACACTAAAGTGTTTGCTTTGTGAGCCTCCAGGGGAGAAGAAATGGTAAGCCGGGCTGCAGCATCTCTGTTCAAGATATACACCAACTTCTGTTTCTCAATAGCACCTGTTGTTGGTGACAAAACATAAAAAAAAGACTCCAGATAATGAAAAGAGAGGCTGCAGAAAAGCTAGATTCACATCACGATTATATTCTGAAAAATCATTAATACCCAGCACTAACTCTACAAATGTATTAACTTAGGATTTTGCTCTCATTAAAGTAGACAAGAGCGTAATTTTACCCTCCATTCTTCCTAATAGGGATCTTAATATCCTAACTCTTCAAATTTTTTTATGACAAACAAACAATAATTCATAAAATTGCCAGTTTTATTCTCTGAGCTAGATCTAATGATTTTGTGACTGGTCAGAGAGGGGTGCCCTCTGGAAGCCTGATCAGATACACAATTTTCTTCAAGAGATTTATCAGAGAAGAGACATGAATGTGACTCATCACTTCAGGCTGATGAAAGCAACCATATTCATTGTCTAATAATAAAAAACGTTCAGTGTAGTCTTTTTGCTACAGATAAAGAATTGGAAAAACATCCATTTCCACCTAGATAAGTAAAAAAAGTGTGCTGTAACTCTCCCCATTGTTTTAAAAGGAAAAGCAGCTTTAAGTTAAGGAGTTAATCCAAAATAATCCAAACTTCACCCGGTTGAGTAATTTCTTGACACAGTGACAAGAACACAACATTGTTATTCTAAACTGAGCTTCTATAAGAGTCAAAGAGTCAACAGGAAAAGGCACTCACTAATCATAACTGCTCGCCCTTTGGGATCCACAGCTAAGAACTGGCCAGGAACAATGCGACGGCATCCACTCTTGCCAAAGGTTTCTTGGTGAATTTTTTCAAACATGTTCTTAGATGGCTGGTATTCTAGGATAACAATCCGACCTGAGTCACTGCCAACCACAATGTAGTCTTTCGTGCCACCCGTCAGCCTAAAAGCCATGAGTGAACGAATAACACCAAATACTTCCACAGTTAGTAGAGTGTGTACTTTGCCAGTGTTGGGGTCAGGGCGAAGCAACTCCAAGATCTTTCCCCGGGAAACAACAATTTCTTGTTGTTTGGTTCCTAAATTACACAAAAAATAAAGACCATGAACAGTAAGAACTAGTCCAAAAAGTAATCTGGATGGATCAAAATGACACTAAAGATAAATATAATTAAATGAGTTGGGGGCTTAGTATTTTAAGTTAATTTATTCTACTTTAAAAGATAATTTTCCTAGAATTTAAATTGTCTAACAGTGGTATCAAAGAAAAACTTTCCAAAATGGTCACAAGCTATATGGTATTTAACTTTCTTTTTATTTTTCTAAGATTTGTCCTCGATCTGCATAATTAGGAGTTGCCTATAAACGTTATTAACACAGACTGTTTAGCTTCATAAAATTTAAAATTTCCATAGGCTCCGTGCAGCCCACCTTTAAGGGTATTGTTCTAAGAAATCGTATTAACTTTTTGTGAACTTTGATATTGGATCTCACAGAATTTTTAACACTGCCACCTCATAATGTATTATGTTTACTTCTAAACTCACTCCTAAAAAATTCACTTGCTTTCATAACTGCAGTCAGCACCTACAAATACGTAACAGCCAACTTGTCCAGATTTCTCCCTGCTATATAATTCCACATGGGTAAGCTGTCATCAACTTTAAACTAAATATTTAAAATAACTAAGTTCCTCCTTTGCCAAACACCTTCTCTGGTCTCAAGTAACCTGCTATAAATGTTACTGTCATTTTCTCTGCCACTCAGGCTGCAAACTCACATTCTTCTTTCTTTCTATCCTCACTGCCCTAGCACAGGTATTCACTAATGCCTAAATGGCTTCTTATCCTATCTATACCCATTGCACTGTCTGATGATTAAAATTTCTTTCCTGTAATTTGTTTTAGAAATAAAAGTTTATATTTTGAAAAGCAAGTTGAAGCATAAACCTAGTAACATTAAAAAATGTTAAAAAAAAAAAAATTAAACTCAGACAGTAACTGTAGGACTTACCAGAGAAGTTGCCATGAATGGCAAAGCTGATGCCAGTGGCTCGCTGCAAGGTCAAATTGTACAGGAACATGGTCGCATTAACACTGAGCCACCCACAACTCCACAACCCGGGTCTTAGTTCTATCAAGTCAAAGCAAGCTAAGAGTACATAAAAGCAGAAAAACATCAGCTGTGAAAATGTTATTTTAACAGACATTTTTATTCTTGTATGGGAACTTCTGGATAAAGGCAGCAGAATCAATAAAGTAAGAGGAACAACATATTTATAATTAGTGCCCTCTATTTGCCAGGTACTAATGCCATTTACGCTGCTTTTCTCACAAGAAACCTATTAAGCACTCAATATTACACTAGTTTTATAGATGAGCCGGTGATTGCCCTCTACCCCTTCTCCAAGTGCCAAAGGAACACCACCGCATTTAAACTCCGCAAAGTCTTCAAGACAGATATTGTCCCCACTCTGCAAATGATAAAACTGAGGATCAGAGAAGGAAATAACTTGCCCAAGTACCAAAACACAAATACAAAACAAGGCCTTGGTTCTAAAAGCTGTTTTCGTTATTTACACGTTTAACGCTCTCGACCTTTCCACCTTACCGTCAGTGTGTCGTTTACTTTCTCCGAGGGGTGGGGGTCCCTCCTGCCCCTTCTCAAACCTCCCTCAGGGTCTAAAACCTACGCAGTCTCTAGAAAGCTTATTTTGAGCTAGGCCTTGTTCCCACACTGTGAACAGAAGAGGGAGACGATTCCCTAAAGCCGCCCCAAGCATTCCCCTCCACCACCTCCTCGTCCTTTGCCCGTACCTCTCGGGCCTAAGCTGCCTCAAAAACCCCTACCAAAGCCTCGGCGCACCCTCCTACATGGCCGCTTTCCGCCTCCCCGGACTCAGGGAAGTAAGGAAGCTGTTTCTTTACCCTGCAGCCGGGAGGATGGAGTAGATATCCTACAGATTCTGAGTTCCTTTAAGACCTAGGCAACCGCCAGTGCCACTCTGCCGGCGTCCGCCATTAAGTCCTAAGACAGAAACCTTCCGCTTGGCGCGCGACGGAAAAAAGTCCCCGACCGGCGCCTGAAGAATGTATATATAATTCTTTAAAGCTTCTGTTTGGCTTCCATGCCGCATTAAAAATTACTCAAGCATACTTTATGATCGTCACTTTTTCCAGGAGAATATAAAATGAATAGACCCTTTTAAGTAGACTTTTAAAAATTATAAACTCATTGGGCACTTCCGTGGGCAGCCCCAAAGACGTGGCGCGCCAACGAGGAGGGGGCCTCGTCGGGCCGGAAACGTAGAATGAGGACCAAGATGGCGGACGTCGATTCTCCTGAGAAGCTATCAGGGGCGTCTTCGCCACCTGAAGGGGTGGGAGGAGACCGCTGCTCGGAAATCTCCACCGAGCTCATTCGCTCTCTGACCGAGCTGCACGAGCTGGAAGCTGTGTACGAACGGCTCTGCGGCGAGGAGGTGGGGGAGCTGAGCCTCTTTTTTCCAGGAGAATGCAAGGGCAGTGGGACTAGGAGCCTTCAGTCTTGGGAAATGTGAAATGTGGGAAGTTCTCTTCTTGCCAAGGAAACAGAAAAGCACTTACTCGAGAAGCAGGAATGTAGTTGAGTGTGGTTGCGGGGACCTGACATCTCTGTTCACTAGGTCTGATGCCTCCAAGCATGTTTTCCTGTTGTCCGAGTGATCTGCCCCACCCCCGGGCCCCTTTGATTTCTCTTAACGCTACATTTCTCCACCAGAGTAAAGTTAGACTTGAGAGTATACGCCGACTCCCTTGCTTCTCAGAATAAGAATAAAGGCCCTTTTGCAACGGCTTAGCAATTTAAAAAATCATGAAACACTTTCACCCCATTATCTCATCTAAGCGAGAAATCACAGCAAATAAACTTGAAGCGTTTTAAGATTTCCTCTTGGGAATGATTTTGGGATGTAAGTTTAGCGTTTTGCTTAAATGCAGGACTTTGTAGAAGCTTGAGATTTTAAGATTCAGGCACAACTATCTCTTCTTGTACAGCTCACTTCATCTCTTGTACCTCTACGTAGTGTCAAATGAGGGGCATGGGCTATGTTTTGTTGAAGATTCCTTGCAGCCTTCACTTTTCTGTGCAACTTAATGCTGTCAATACGTTTTTGAATGTCAGTTAGGTTCCTTGGCCAGTAGGAAGAAAAAACAAAAAAGGTCTGAGCTCTGATCTGAAAGTTTAGTAGCTGTTCCCTAAACCAAACTTTCACTAAGGTTGAGCACAAAAGGCAGTTTCAGCATGGGGGTGGAGGAGTCATTGATACTATTGAGTTTTTTTTTGAAATGTTAACTTCCACCAACTCCAGCAGTTTCTGATACATCTTTCAGCAAGATGTGCTTTATAAAACTCAATACTCTTGACTTAACATTCCTGAACTTGCATTTATTGAGTCAATCAATACTTTGGGGGGGAAAATTAAGTCAATTTTAGAAGCAACATATTAGTTTTGTTTTTTATTTGATGACTATCGAGGGCAAGTTTCCCTCTGGATCCTACTGGACTAATTTTAATAGAAATGTGTAGCTTTTTTTAATGGAAGTATAGTTGATTTACAATGTTTCAGGTGTACAGGAAAGTGATTCAGTTATATATGTGTATGTATGTATGTATATATATGTATATTATTCAGATTGTCTGCTGTTATAGGTTATTAAAAGATATTGAATATAATTCCCTGTGCTTGTATAGCTAATATTAGTGGCTATTATTGCCATATACCACATGCTATGTTAAGCACCTTGTATATGTTGTCTTGTTTGGCTCACACAGCAGTCCTGTGGGGTATACATTCCTATCCCCATTTTACCGATGAGGAAACTCAAGCATAAGAAGGTTACATTAGTTAAGGTAATGCAGTAAAAGACTTGACTGAGAGAGAATTATACTTATACTTTCTGAGTATTGACTGTACACTGGAAGAGACTTTACGAATGACACTTTAGATGTCTCATTTTTTATTTTAGCCTTTATATTTCAAATTCCTTCCTGTGTTAGCCACTGTGCTAATGAAATTGAATTAAGGTTTATTTCCTCCCTTTGTGGTGTTCACCTCCTAGATGGAGTAAGATGCACATAAGGTAACAATTATTATGTAATATGATAAATGCAAAAATGAAGTGTTGTTTGTTAAAGTCCTAAGGGAACTTGGTGAAAAGAAAGACATTTGAAATGGGATTTACCCTTCAGCTAAGTAGCTGGAGTAGATAACTCTTAAGGTTCCTTCTGATCATACTGATGATAGGATGTTTCTCTGTGTTTCAGAAAGTGGTAGAGAGAGAGCTAGATGCTCTTTTGGAACAACAAAACACCATTGAAAGTAAAATGGTCACTCTCCACCGGATGGGGTGAGTCTTCATCTCAGCAAGAACTATTGTAAATGCCATCAGGGTCCACTGGATAAGTTATTATTTTTCCTAACTTTCTGTTATACAGTGTCAGTTGAGTTTGAACTGTGCAGGAGCATTACCTCCAGGTAAAGTGAATACCTAAGGACATAGTTAATTTGTTCTCAAAGTGTACTTGGACCAGCAAGTATCAACATCATTTGGAAACTTGTTAGAAATGCAAATTCTGGGGCCTCACACCAAACCTAGTATAGCAGAAACTCTGGGAATGGGGCCATGGAATCTCTATCTTAACAAGCATACCAGGTGATTCTGATGTATGGCTCAAGTTTGAGAACCACTGTTTTTATAGGCTTTGTATATTTGTTCGTCATAAAAATTGTTGATTTCATCATGTTCCTAGATTGTTGGTTAGTGCATTTTATGTTCACTTAGCAACTGGAAGAATCTGTACTCCTTTGGCAGTACCTATTTACAGGTATCTTTAATAATTACTGAAATGAATTTTTTATTAAGTTAGGCCTGAGTTTTCAGTAAGCACTCATACAAAGCAATGGAGTGAGCAGAGCTAAGAGTCTTGGGGAGGTACAAAAGTAGTAGAAGACATAGTCTCCATCTACAAAAAATTTTCCGCCTCTTCTACCATCTACCCCTGTGACTATGTGTGCTGACAATGTGTGTTTCCAGTCCCAACCTGCAGTTGATTGAAGGAGATGCAAAGCAGCTGGCAGGAATGATCACCTTTACTTGCAACCTAGCTGAGGATGTGTCTAGCAAAGTCCGTCAGCTTGACCTGGCCAAGGTAATCCTATTGAACTCTTGATATTTGAGTTAGTAGAGGGCATTAGAGAAGGCACCACATTAAAAGTTAAAGCTGCACCATCCAATAGAAACCTAATGGAAGGTACCAAAACTAGACAAAGATATCACAAGAAAACTCCAGACCAATATCTGTTATGAATATAGACATACAAATCCTCAACAACACTAACAAACCAAATTATAGCAACATATAAAAAGACTGTACTGTGATCAAGTGGGATTGATCCCAGGCATGCAAGGTTGGTTTAGCATCTAAAAATCAATTAAGGTAAAAAACCGTATCAGTGGAATAAAGGACAAAAATCACATGATCATCTCATAGACTTGATAAAAGCATTTGACAAAATCCAACACTCCTTTCAATAAAAACATTCAACAAACTTGTCAGAAGGAACTTCCTCAACCTGAGAAAGGGCATCTATGAAAAACCCACAGCTAACATCATACTTATTGGTGAAAGACTAAGTACTTCGCCCACAAGATCAGGAATAAAATAAGGATGTTAGCTTTTGCTGCTTCTCTTCAACATTGTATTGGAGGTTCTAGCCAGGGCAGTTAGGCAGGAAAATGAAATAGAAGTCATGCAGATTGGAAAAAAAGAAATCTAATACAAACCACATATTTAATTTAAAATTTTCCAGTGACTGTTCTTAAAAAGTGAAACAGAAATAGATGAAAATAATTTTAACAATTTAATGTATTTGTTTAACTTATCATATCCAAAATACCATTTAAATATGTTATTACTATAAAATAGTATTAATGAGATGTTTTACCTTATTTATTTTTGTACTAATCCTTTGAGATTCAGTATGTATTTTACATATATACATCTTAATTTGGACTGGTCGTGTTTCAAGCACTCAGTAGCCAAAGGTCGTTAGTGGCTGCTGTATTGAATAGCACAGGATCTGGGCTCTTGAACAAGTCAGTCCCAGCCTCAGCTTGCACCTGTGAAATAGCATAACTCTTCTCTATTTGTTCACATTCTGCCAAAATAATTTATCACACAGCCACCAACTCACATATTAAAATTTTTTTTGAAACACTCTTGCTTATTCTAAAAGAAAATACTTTCCACATATTTTGCTTACTTCATTACTTGGTTTACAGTGTCATCTTCCCAAAATATCAAATATATTCTGTCTGTGTTATAAATTTAACAATATAAGCCAAGCATAAATATGGATTATCCCCATTCCTGCCTCTAGTAAAATAAATGCTGGTCACATAAATAAAGTTGTATGATACCTTCTCGTGGTACTGACCATGGCCAAAAAGTTTCGTGAGTGGAAGTGTGATTTTAGTTTACCAGTGAAAGCTGAAAAGGACCTCTGGTAACCAGATTCAGCCCCTGAAACTCCCTACCTTCTGGAGAGATTTTTTCTTTAAAGAATAGGACATTGTTTCTAAGCACCAAGCATTTTTGCAGAATCGCCTCTATCAAGCAATTCAGAGAGCTGATGACATCTTAGACCTGAAGTTCTGCATGGATGGAGTTCAGACTGCTCTGAGAAATGAAGACTATGAGCAGGCTGCAGCCCACATTCATCGCTACTTGTGCCTGGACAAGTCAGTCATTGAGCTCAGCCGACAGGGTAAAGAAGGTTGGCATCCCAAACTGTTGATTCATAGTTTAGTTACAGGCATCTGTAATCTGAACTAAGCAAACTCAGCCAGGAAAAGGGCATCTGTTAGAAAATTTCCTTGTCTGATACCAGACCCGATATGGTCTTAGATCATCCCAAAGCAGATGTCCTTCCTACGTTATAGAAAAGGAAACTGAAACTAGATCTGCTGTTCCTCTGGCCAGTGGGTTCCTTACACTTTACCATATTACCTGCTTATAAAATTAAAATTAAATTCTTAGCTTGGTTTTCTGGGCCTTCCATGGTCTTGACCCACCCTATCTTTATAGCCTTATTTCATGCTATTCACTCCTGCATCCATTCATTGTGCTCATGTTTATTGAGCTCCTCCATATGCCAGGCTATGTACTACTTGCAGTACTCTGCAAATACTCTTCACCTTTTTGTTTCTAATCCTTTGCTCATTCCATTCCCCTTGCCTGGAATATATGTTACCCCTATTCAGGTATCAAAATTCTGCTCATCTTTTAGAAATGTGATATCTCTAGGAAGCCTCTTCTGATTACTTCAACCAGAAATATGACTTTTGGGCACCTTTCTTATGATACTTATCATACACTGAATTACATTATAGTTATTTTGCACAAATCATCTCTTTCACTGATTGTAACTTCTGTGACAATAGGATCATGGCTGATTCATCTCTTAATTATCCATATTGCTAGTTCTGTATCTTGCACACATGGAGAGCTTAATACATATTTTTGGAAGACTAAGTGGCATATACCTGACATAGTACCATTCTTTACATTAATTCTCATATTCTCCCCATTTGCAGGCAGTATGATTGATGCCAACCTGAAATTGCTGCAGGAAGCTGAGCAGCGCCTCAAAGCCATTGTCACAGAGAAGTTTGCTATTGCCACTAAGGAAGGAGATCTGCCCCAGGTGGAGCGCTTCTTCAAGATCTTCCCACTGCTGGGTTTGCATGAGGAGGGATTAAGCAAGTTCTCAGAATACCTTTGCAAGCAGGTATGGCCCTGATTGTTTGGCAAGATAATGGTACAGTTCCTGCCTGCAGACTGGGGCACTGGATAGATTCAGTGTCTGTGGATACTTTTTCACCTCTGGATTTGACTCCCCTTTTGTGCTGTACCCTAGCAGGACTGGCTGCATACATTCATTCAACACTAATCCATTGCCAGTCAGCTATGTACCAGGCATAGCGTCGACATCTGCTGATGTACATTTATTTCCAGCAGACGAACAGAAAGTATAGGAGAATTAAAATGCAAACTCTCTGACAAGTTGAATCACCCCTTCCAGGCTGTCAGCTGGGAACTGGCTTCTTAAGAGCATTCAGAGATGTTGATTCGTGATTTTAAGACTACATAACAAGGCTTGAGTCTCAAAATAAGACTTGCACGGGGCAGGGTATAGCTCAGTGATAGAGTGCGTGCCTAGCATGCATGAGGTCCTGGGTTCAATCCCCAGTACCTCCGTTAAATAAATAAATAAACTTAATCACCCGCCCCCAAAAAATAAATCATTTAAAAAAAAAAAAGACTTGCAGGGTAGGTGGAAAACCCAGGAGTGAATCTTAAAAATTGAGATGAAGCAAGTGAGGTCACTCAAAGTTAAAACTGAAAAACAAACAGGCTGAAGTTTAAGTCTTAGCCTCTTTTCTCCCCAACCTTAGATGGAGAGAAGCAAGTATCAGCAGACACATGTGCATAAGAGTGTTGGGTTTTTTTTAACCATGTGTCAGAGTGCATCCCGCCCCTTCCCAAATTCTGTATAATGGAACACTATTTTGCCATTAAGAAAAATGAGATGGTTCCATATGTGCTGACATATTTCACTCTCTAATATATGTGGTTTTTTAAGTTAAACAAATAACAGTATGCTATCATTCCTGTTTAAAATGAGGGAGGTGGCAATGCAGATGTATGCTTGTATAAATAGGATATTTTTGAAAGGGTTAATAGTGCTTACCTCTCAAGAGAGGAATTAGGAGACCAAGAGACATAGGTGAGAGGAAGAACTACTTTTCACCAAACACTTCTTTGTTCCTTTTCAATGTTTTAGTGTGTTTTACTCATTCTGAAAATTAATTAACTAAAAATAAAATATAACTGCTTTCTGGTACTTTTTTTATCAGTACTTTTCCATGTGGAACCTGGAAATGGCTTCTCCTTTTTAATCCCTTAAAAGTCCCTTCCACAGTATCCAGATCCCTTGCCCTGCTCAGCAAAGCACCATTAATGATAACTTTGAGTTAAACTTTGAAAAAAAAAAAAAAAGGAAAGCATTATTTATACTTCTGAATGGAAGAAGAGTTATCACTGTGTTAAGTCCTTTGTCTTGCCTGAGGCCCAGACAACCCAGAGCCCCCAGGGGACATTCCTCTGTGCTTTTCCAGCCTCAAGGGAAATATGGGGAAAAAAAAGCCGATAGGAGGTCTTTTTTGGGAAACTGAGGCTAACCTTTGGTCTAAGAAATATATGTGGATTTTCTACTTTTTTCAGGTGGCCAGTAAAGCTGAGGAGAATCTACTATTGGTTCTAGGGACGGACATGAGTGATCGAAGAGCTGCAGTCATCTTTGCAGATACACTAACTCTTCTGTTTGAAGGCAGGCAACTTTCTCCACTCTCAGGAAACTAGAAACACTTCTAACACCTACATCCTAGCTTTTCTTCTCACTAGCCTGATGCCTTTAATTTAATTCTGTACTTTGCTGTGTATTGATTTATTGGAGAATTAACTTCCCAAGTCAGTGTCTGATTAGTAGAGATTAGAGTTCTTAGATGTGATTCTCCTTGCCCTCGAGACCCAAACTCTAAGAGTGAATTTAACCCTAAAATCAATGACTAGAAAGAGAGTGATACTTATTTCAAAAGATGCTCCTGTAGAAACTATCAGTATAATTTATCAAATGCCTGCTGGTATACTCAGCACTTTGCATATTTAACAGGCAGATTTGCTTAGCTCCTGGCACTGACAAGAACCATTTGTATTCATTTTGAGAAGTAAGATAACCAAAAAGGGTTAAGTTAGACCCAAGTTCAGTCCTGGATGGAAGAAAGGAGTTTAGTCTTCAGGGAAGAATATTTGGAATTCAACCCTCTCATGTTCTCCCTTTTAGGGATTGCCAGAATTGTGGAGACCCACCAACCAATAGTGGAAACCTACTATGGGCCAGGGAGACTTTATACCCTGATAAAATATCTGCAGGTGGAATGTGACAGGCAGGTGGAGAAAGTGGTAGACAAGTTCATCAAGCAGAGGGATTACCACCAGCAGGTAAGCAGGGAAGCTTATAGATGGTTTGGAAACAGCATTAGCCAGCAACACCAAATAGAATAAATTGGAGAGGAAAGTAAAAAGGTGCAGCTGGGAGAAAAATGCCAAATGCAGACTAGCCTGCATCATGCCCCTCATTAGCTTGCTTTGGACTTGAAGTTTTATCAGAGTGATGATGACCTCAGTACAAGACTTGAAAAGAAAATAAAAAGGGCTAAAAGGAATACAACAGAAACGCTAGACCAATTCTCTATCACAGAATGTGCAACAGTGCCTCTGGTGATACAGTGAGATTTTATTTCTTAAGGTCTTCTTATTCAGTATTAAGTAACTTGTCTCAAATTTCTCCTTAGTTCCTTAAGTGCTAAAGATAACATTTACTTTTTCAGAACTTTATTTCTCCATTCCTTTGAGCAGGTAAAGCAAGAGTAGCACTTAGAAATACAGGCAGCCCCATATAATTTTATTTCTAGAACTCTAGGAGACTGTAGACAGTAGTCCATTGGAACAACATTAGCATCACTTTTAAGTGCAATAATAGAGGTTAATCTTAGCATATAAATCAAAAGTAAATCTTTGGCTCCTCATCTTGAGAACCTACTTTTGACTTGTCTGTTAAGCAAACTAAACCTAAACATTCTTATGCCAGAAGTTTAGAGTGACCAGCAAGGGGCAAGTAGAAGGAGGGAGGGGAAGGGCATTCTCATTTCTGTGGTATGTTGCAGTTCCGGCATGTCCAGAACAGCTTGATGAGAAATTCTACGTCAGAAAAAATAGAACCAAGGTAATAATCCTCTTTTCTTTAGCCCATAGAAGTTTGAATTGGTAATCAAGAATCAGAGACTACTCTCCTACAGTGTGGTTTATGTTTTAAAAATACTTTATCTATGACCCTTTTTTATTTTAATGTAACATAGCTGAAAAACAAAAGCACGTGAACAGCAAATTTGTATTTTTTAAAGAATGATAGATTGTTACCAGTATTTTTGAAGCCCCCAAAGTGACTCTCCTCTTCTCACTCCCCCAAAGGTAACAATTACTCTAAAATTTTAAACTTAATTTTTTCTAATAAAAGTAATATATGCTTATTTAAAGAGAATCCAAACATAAAAATGTATTGACTCAATCAACAAATTTTTACTGAGTACATATTATGTGCCAGGCACTGGTCCTTGGTACTGGGGATATGTTAGCAAGCAAAGTAAACAAGACATAATTCTTTCTTTGAGGCATCTATGACCTAAAAAGTAGACAAATAATAATAAGTAACACATACATACTGTGTACTATATGTCAGACATTGTTCTAAGCATTTAACAAATACTAAATAATTTAATCCAGGTTTTCTCATCTTCTGTACTATTGGAATTTTAGCTGGGTCATTTCTTCATTATGGAGGATGATCCTGTACATTTTAGGATGTTTAGCAGCATCCCTGGCTTCTCCCCACTAGATACTGGTAGTGTGATGTCACCAAACACGGCCAAATGTCCATTGGAAGGTAAAGTCACCCCCAGTTTAGACCACTGATTTTAATCCATAAACATTTTTTACAGTTGAGGAAACTGAAGCCTGGAGAGGTTAAGTGACTTGCCTAGGATCATACAGCTAGAAAATGGCAGAACAAAGAATAAAATCCATCCAGTCTGGCTCTAGAGTTGGTGCTATTCACCATCATAGTATATTCAATGTAGAGTACAGGGAAGCATGTAAAAATAGATGTAACCTAAGCCATTGAAGCTCAAGAAAGAATCCTGAGACAGTGAGCTTAGATGTGAGACTTTAAGATTACATAGGAATAAGAGATGAAAAGTATTCCAGGTGGAGTTGGGAAAGCATGTGCCAAGACCCTGTGTATTTGAAAAACTGAAAAAGGCAAGTGTAGATGAAGCACAGAGTTGGAGAGAGCCTGATATGAGATGAATGTGGAGAGGCTGTTGGGGTCAGGCCATTCAGGGTCTTGTATCCTAAAAGCTATGGAAATCATGATTACAATATGACCAGATTTACATTTTGAAAAGATCTCTTGGATTTCAGTGTTGAAAATGAGTTTAGTTTTTGTATGTAATGTTAGCGAGGGGATCAGCTTCATTCTTTGTAATGTGTGTATGGTTATCCTAGCACAATTTGTTGAGAAGACTATTCTTTCCTTATAGAATTGTCTTAGCATTCTTGTCAGAAATCAGTTGACCATAAATGTAAAGATTTCTGGACTCTCAATTAATCTGTATGCCTATCCTTAATGCCAGTAAAAACCACCCTGTCTTGTTTGCTATAGCTTTGTAGTAAATTTTGAAATCAGAAAGTGTGAGTCCTCCAACTTTTTTTTTTCCCAAGATTGTTTTGGCTGTTTATATGGTAGATGAATGGAAGTGGGACACAGTTGAATGGTGTATCCTAAAAAATCCCACCACAGCTACATAAGGGGATAGGGCAGTGTGATTTCTTTCACACGAAGCGTGGATAATTTTTACTCAAGCCACTAACAAATACATCTCCCAATCTCTTATTTTGCCCTGGCAGGATTTTAGGGGGGCATAATTCAGGTGAAACATGTAAATGAAATACGTAGTTGACAGCTGTCTTGAGATTATACTCAGGCTAGCAGAGCTAGGATGACCATCTGGCAGAGCTGACCCTTCTGGGTGCAGTGAGGAGGAGAGTTTGGGACTGTGTTTGCTCTACAGCTCTTATGTCTGAAGGAATCCAGTGTCCTGCTTATTCCTTCTGCTCCATGTGCCTCAGGGAACTGGATCCTATCCTGACGGAGGTCACCCTGATGAATGCCCGCAGTGAGCTGTACTTACGCTTCCTCAGGAAAAGGATCAGCTCAGATTTTGAGGTGGGGGACTCCATGGCCTCAGAAGAAGTAAAACAAGGTAAAAGGTGTTTCCCATGTTCTTTGGGATGCGATGGGATGGGATGGGGTAGAGTTGGCACTGTTTTGTAATTGTTAAGCCATGGGTCCTTTAATAAGCCAGGGCTGGTTAGTCTCAGGCAGCAGGTGGGAGGGTGTCTGTGAACAAATTGACTCCCAGGAGCAAGTCCAGACTTTCCAAATTTTAGAATTGGTCTAGATCTTTGAGGCTTTCTAATCATTTTACGGATGAGAAGAGCTAATGGTAAGAATGGTTAAATGATTTTTCTCTGCTCTTTTCCCCACACTGTGCTTCCTCACCAGCTCAGATTTGGGGATTGGTGTTCAATTTAAGTAGATGATATGTACACATGATAGATAGCTAGATGGATAGAAGAAAAGATATGCATAACTTCATGAGGGAACTTTTGGGAGTGATAGGGATATTCTAAAACTGGGTTGTGGCTATTGTTACAATATTCTGTATAAAGTTACTAAAAAATCATTGATTTGTGCATATACAATGGGTGAACTTTATGTTGTGTAAATTACACCTCAGTGTAGTTTTGAGGTATAGTATCAAGAAAAGAGCATGTAATATAAAGAGTATACAAAAGAGTATATGGTATAAGGAAAGCCTTTCACCCTCCCCCTTGGTCTCCTAGTTCCCCCACTCACAACTTTTGAATTGATAAATATGTTGAATAAAAAGATGTGTCACAGTTCTATTTCATTGACACATTGACTCTCCAGGTTTTGAAGAACATTTAATTTCTGCTAGTTAAGTATATGCAGAATTCCCTGAACTGAAGACCTGAAACTGACCCAGCAGCTGTGGCATTCTGCATGGCTAATACCAGTAATACAGGGCAAGGGAATTATTTATATGACCTAGTGGTACTGCCTTGAGTTGGTGTTTAAAGGAGGATATATGCTCATTTAGAGTTTGGAGTTTATTGCTACTAATAATGACTGTGTATGTTCACATGTGACTATATATTTAATTTCAATTATATTGAAATTAAATAAAATTAAAAATTCAGTTCCTCGATCACATTAGGCACATTTCAAGTGCTTAATAGTGGCTACCATATTAAACACCACAGATATAGAACATTTCCATCATTACAGAAAATTCTGGTTAGAGAATGAAATGTTTTATACCAGTATATTTCAGTCTTTGGCCTTGAACCTTACATCTTTTGAGTCTTACTGATTAATTCTAAGGAAATAATGAAAAAGAAGTAAAAAGTTATTGTACAAAAACGTTAACTAAAGTCTCCAATTACTGTGATTTACAATTATCTCTAATAATGGCTAAACATTTGGAAATTACCCAGGTGTCTAAAAATAGAGTAGTTTAAAAAATTATAAACTATGTACCTGATAAAATACCACGCAGCCATTAAAAATGAATAAGCTAAAAAGAAGAAAAACTAAGCTATGTAGAAACACTGAAATACTTATAATGTAATTTTTTAAGCAAAATATAAAAATGTATGTGTACTGTGGTTATAATAATGTAAAATATGTATAGATTTGCAACAGAGACTAGAAAGGAACCTGAAAAACTGAGAAAAGTTGATCTATTTCCCTTGGGGAAGAAGAGTGAGTATTCCTTTCTTGGCTGTCCTCTAGAGCACCAGAAGTGTCTGGACAAACTCCTCAATAACTGTCTCCTGAGCTGCACCATGCAGGAGCTGATTGGTCTCTATATTACCATGGAGGAGTACTTCATGAGGGAGACTGTCAACAAGGTAGGACAAAGGGCATGTCCCTTGGAAATGGGGCTTCCTGTCCAAGAAGCCAGGCTGAAAGCAGTGACTGAGGTATGTCAAATTTCTTGGTCCTGCTTTGAGAGTACCCTGCGTAGACTGACTGTACTGCTTTGAATGGTTAGGGGGCATCTTGGGAGTGGTCATCCTCTTCATGGACTCAGCTAGGACTTCTTTCCAAGGATCACAAAAGAATACCTCAGCTCCTCTGGGAGCCTACCTGCTCCCTGCCGCCCTAAAGGCATGAGGGTGAGGAGCCCTGGGGAAGAAGGGCCTCACCTGATGTCTTACATCCCATGTAACGGATGTTCCCAAGGCAAATGCCCTCCATACTGAATTTCCTAACATGGTGTTCAGTAGGGAAGTGAGCTATTTTGGCAAGGAGGAGCCACACCAAGCTATGACCAGAATAAGCTGTGTTGGGAAAACTGTGGACAAGGTACAAAAAAGGGAGCAGGGCCAGGGCCTGTTCCAGAACCATCTAGAACAGTAACATGCAGACTGGGGCCCTCACTGGGTGCTTTGCCTTTCGGGTAGGCTGTGGCTCTGGACACCTGTGAGAAGGGCCAGTTGACATCCAGCATGGTGGATGATGTCTTCTACATTGTTAAGAAGTGCATTGGCCGGGCTCTGTCTAGCTCTAGCATTGACTGTCTCTGTGCCATGATCAACCTCGCCACCACAGAGCTGGAGTCTGACTTCAGGTACAGTTGACGCCCTTTCTACTTTCTAGGAAGCAAAAAGGTTCTAGTTGTGATTGATTTCTGAGCCCCATTTTGTTTCTTCCTTTTTCTTCCTTATGATTTTAGTTCAGTTCTACACAGGATATAAGCTCCTATTCATAGCATGACATCCTTAACTCCAGGCAGTTGTACAGCAACCAGATATCTTATACGCAAAATCTGTGTTTCCTGGGCTGGACTGGAGGAGTTACTGGCCCTCAGCCCTGGGAAATAGAACAAGCGGCTCAGATGAAGGCAGTGGTTGTAATATTAATCATGGTTACCATTTCTACAGGCCAGGCACTGTGCTCATTTCCTGCTCTTGTTTAGTCCTAATAGTGACCCTATGAGGCAGGAACCATTAGCTCTCTCTTGTAGAAGGGGAAACTGGGGCTCAGGCAGATCTCACACCTCATAAATGGTAGAATATGGAATAAAGTCTGACTTTTGAAACCTATTCTCAACACTTACATGGTGCTGCATTTCATTAAGCTGTACTACATCTTCTTGAGTTTGTTGGAGCTCACTGGCATTAAATAAAAGCCTCATAAGGAGTAGGGAGTTAGCCAGTCTTCTCTGTGTGTTCTTGTCACATCAGTGCCCTTGAGGGGGTGTTGGCCTCATACCCTGGCTGCTCAAAGTCTCCTACAGTGATCTCAGGGATCGGTTATTTCCCTGAAAGAGCAACTCATGTTGCTGGCTCAGAGTAGTGAGCCCTCTGGTGCTGCTGTCCTAGAGGCCAGGTTGAACGCTGTCAATTCCCATATGCTGTTCTGCCCCCAGGGACGTTCTGTGTAATAAGCTGCGGATGGGCTTCCCAGCGACCACCTTACAGGACATCCAGCGTGGGGTGACAAGTGCAGTGAACATCATGCACAACAGCCTCCAGCAAGGCAAATTCGACACTAAAGGCATCGAGAGCACTGACGAGGCCAAGCTGTCCTTCCTGGTAGGTAACCCCACAGGTCGGGAGCTGGTCAGTTTATCTCAAGAGGTTAAACTGTGACCTCTAAGCACAGTATAATCAGTCTTCAACTGGAGACTTCCTCCAGTGTCTGTATAGAGGGAAAACTCCTTTAAGGAAAGCTCTCCCTAGAAAGAAGGTTCTGAAACTATATCTTATTACCCATGGACCTATTTCAGAGCAGCCTGAGCCAGGACATGCACTGTTCCTGGCCTGGAAGGCTGGGTGCCTCAGCTCTCCCCAGTGCTTATTCCCAAGAGCACTACCCAGCTGTTCAGGGACCCCACTGAGTATCAAGCTTGGCTTGCATCTGTGCCAGACCCCCGGACCACTTCTCTGAAAACAGTCCCACAGCATGGGTTGGGGGCCAATCCTTCAGGCCTCCCAGACTGCTTTTCTAGCAAACTTCTTAGGCCTTCAACTTCCTCAGAAAGGTGACCTTAAAGCCCTTACTACCCAGCATGACAGATGTGATGAAGCAGTGAATCTTACTAGTTGTGTGACAGACAGTTGGGGAAGTAGAAGTATGGAAGGATGAAAGGAATTATACAAGGTAACAACCAATTTGTGATGAGCCCAAAAGGATGCAGATGAGTCCTAAGCCAGTGATGAGGCCTGTCTGGCACATGTTGTCCTGGCTTGTGTGGGAACAGTGCTGTGAGAAGTCATTCTGCTCTACCCTGACATTGGCCAGACTCTGAGTCTTCTTAGGTCCTGTGGTTCAGAGCCTGAAGGAAACATCCAATAGCAGAGCTTTGTCAACAGCCCACATATGGGATCTCTGAACACTCTGGGGTTGGATGCAAAAATGTATATATGTTTTTTTCTGGAAGCAGGGTCCTTAGCTTCCATCACATTCTTAAAGGGGTATTTGACACTAAAAGAATTGAGAGATGTTGCTTTCAGACACAGAACCCTAAGTGCACTAATATCTACCCCATCCCTGTGCCCAGGGACCCATAGTAACTCCTTCTCAGACAGTTTCAACATGAAGAATACTTAGGCAGCCCCACTTTCTTCCTGTCATTGGAAATATTTCCCCTGGGCATGGGTTCAGTTGATCTGGGATGTCATGGTTGTTGCCAAAAAATAGGACCAGTTCCAAGAAATTATTGCCTCTGAAATACTGTACCTTTGGAGAACTTTGCCATAATGTCTGACAACCAGCTTCTTATGGTCATGAACTGACTGAAATTTTTCTTTTTATTTGCATTCTATTTCATTTTTTACATAAGTTTTTACAGAACTTACTTTCATTCTTCGATTTCTCTGCTCAGAAACAACTTCTTGCTACTTACCAAATCAAAACTAGACAGAAACCTTTGCCTAGTGGTTTGTTGAAGGCCTCCTGAATCTGACCCATCCTATCACTCTAGTCCTATTTTCTACCCTTAGCTCCACAAGTCCCCATTAGGCTGGCTGCTGTGTGTTCACACATTCACTGCTCCCATTCAGACAGCTTCATTGTTTGGGGGCCTAACAAGAAAAGGTGATGCTAAATGCTTGGTGACAGGTTCCTACATTTCCTGAAGCCAAATACTTAAAATGTCATCACTCCCACCACAGGGCCTATTTCTTATGTCACCTTGATTCATTTGGCTGTCAGGATGAATTTCCCAATGGTATTGATACATCATTCACCATGAGCTGGGGATAAGCCCAGTGAATGCATGCTTACAAGGACTGTCAGCACAAGGAAACTTAGAAATCAATACCATTTGAACCAAAATCCATTTTCCCCTCATGATAGGTTTTTCTTATGCCCTTAAACACCTTCGAAACATTTAGGTTGTGGCTTTCATCCTTGAGCTATCATGACAGTGCAGTTATTTCACTGGAAACTTGTGAAGTTAGCAGCCTTGTGGCATGATAATGAAAGGCCTTAAGTCTCATTTATTCATCATAGAAGTGGCCTTAGCACCACTGTCAGCAGCATGATCATTCAGTATTGGCTTCAGGACACTGACAAGGCCAGTAGTCTTGTGGAAGGCAAGAGGGACATTCCAATCTCAATCCCTGTGTTTCTGGGATTCTTCTCTCACCCTGAAATCCTGAAGCTCCTGACTCATCTCTTGACATTTTAGCTCCTCCCAACCTCATCCTGCCTTGCTGGTCATGCCACCAGCACACCAGTTCAGAAGCAGTGTGATCTCAAACTCCTATTTCTCCCACATATGGCCTCTAGATTAGTATTCCCAAACCACAACTGTGCTCATGTGGCATTTGCCTGCTTTAAATAATCCTCAGTGCCACCCTATTATCCACAGGACAGCATAGCATCCAAATCCCAGTCTGACTTCTGTCTCTGTAGCTCCACCTTTTATTGTTTCCCTGCACATGTCTGTGCACTGATTCTGCTTATCCCCAAATACTTTTGGGGATTTTCTGCTACTTTGCATTTGCTTATGTTAACCCTTCTCCAGAAAACATTCACTGATTTATTCAATATATAAATTTAAAAACTTCTACATATCAAACACTGTCCTAGGTTCTGGAGCTGTGCTGCCCAATATGAGAGCCATTGGCCACAGGTGGCTATTTAAATTTAACTTTAAGGAGGGAGGGTATAGCTCAAGTGGTAGGGTGCATGCTTAGCATGCATGAGGTCCTGGGTTCAAGAATAAATAAATAAATAAACTTAATTACCTCCCCCCCTAAAAAAAATTTAACTTTAAAAATCCAGTTCCTAAGCCATATTTCAAGTACTCAATAGCCATACATGACTAGGAGTACTGTACTGGACAGTTCAGATTTAGAATATTCCCTTCATCTAGAAAGTTGTATTGGAGAGTGCTATCCTAGAGATATGGCTGTAAAGAATATAGACTAGGTCCCTGCCTTCACTGAGCTCTCATTTTAGTGGGAAAGGCAAACAAGAAACAGACAAGACAATATCAGATACTCCTAAGACTCATTAAGAAAATATCAAACAGGACGGTAGGCTAGAGGGAGGCTGATGGGGGTGGAGAAATGTACTCATCCTCCTCTCCTGTCAGAATTGTGTTCTAGCCTTTTAAGTTCTGCTTATTTACCAACTGTACCATGGTTTCCTGGAATACCCTAGACCAAAATATTTTCTTTCCTCTAAATAGCCATAGCAGTTTGTTCCTTAATTATCACTTTTGTCACCTACTCCCTTTTTTAATATTTTATCAAAATTTTTATTTCCTTCATAACCCATGTAGCAGTTTTTAATTACTATTTGGTTGAAGAAAAACCTCCAGGGTGGTAACATACTAAAGCACTTCTTCACCTGGAACTGCAGGTGGCCTCTTGTACCTTGAGGGAAGCGAGGAGTTGGCCTATTCACCTGCACCTAGAAAGTCTTTGCATGTGTCAGGGAACACATAAATAATGAGCAGATAGCCATGTTTCACAAGATTTTTTTTTTCCCATGGGATTCCCCATGTTGCCTACCCCAGTGAATCCAGTTGAAGTCTTAGAAGCCATTGACCCAGAACACATTGCTGCAAGGTTGGCCACTGCCAGCTGGCAGCTCCAGTACTGGAGGCCAGGGGCGGCTCCATAGAGCCATGAGGAGGCTGCCATGCTGCCCCCACCCCACTTCCCCACAGTGACCTCCGAGGCTTCTCGCTCACATGCTGCTTTTTATGATTGGTGTTTCTGCACGAAGCACCTAAGGCAACTGATTTATGAAAGAAGGAGCCTTTGGTCTAGAGTGGGGAGACCTAAATTCTAATTCTGGCACTAGCACTGTGGCCTATCACTCTGAATTTCTGTCCCCCTACCCTGCTTTATTTTTCTTCATGGCCTTTATTGCTACCTGATACTGTATTATCTGACTTCCCTTCTGGAATGTAAATTCTGTGAGGGAGTGGATTTTGTCTGTTAACTGCTTTCTTCTTGGTACCTAGAACAGTGCCTGGCACATAATAGGCACTTTAAATATTTGCTGAATCAAGTTAACTGACCTAGGTGAATCATTTTACCCTCTTAGGAGTCTCGTTTCCACCTGTGAGCTGGCTTGATAATACAGTTAACCCTTGAACAACATGAGTTTGAACTGCACGGGTCCACTTATAAGTGGATTTTTTTCAGTGGCAACTACTATAGTTGGTTGAACCTGTGGATGTGGATACGGAAATTCAACTCTAAGTTATACAGTGATATTTTATTGCTCCCCTGGCCCCCACAATGTTCAAGGGTCAACTATACTTGTTTTGCAGAATGTATTAATCAGAGTCAGCAAACTGATGAATGAGAAAATGCCTCATAGGTGGCAGACTCTCAGGAAGCATTTCTTTAATGAATGTCAGCCTCTACATCACTGGTCTGGGCTTAGAGGTTTGGAGCCCCAGAACTTCTCCCAGACCCTGCATGCCTAAACGTGGAGCAAAAAGACCTAAAACTGGGTCACTGCCTCTGAGGTTGGATGACTTTGCTGCCTTGCTGTCAGGCCCAGGAGAAAGGGCAATCCTAGTTCACCATTCTGTGCACTCTGTCACCTGAGCCCCTTACCTGATGAGAGTGCTATGGTTGGTCCTTAACCTCCCTGAGCCTCAGGAGTACAACTGTCAGCCAGTTTGGCCTTGGAATGGGTACAGACAACAGTAAGCAGGATGTCACATTCCTCTATCCTTGTCTCCCAGGTGACCCTGAACAACGTGGAAGTCTGCAGTGAAAACATATCCACTTTGAAGAAGACCCTGGAGGTACAGGAAAAAATTGTCAGCTTTCAGCGGCTGTAGCCTCCCCAGGCCTCCTTTGAGAACGAGCCCTGTGCACTCTTTCTGTGGGGGACTGTGACATTCCCTGGCATTAAGCCAGTTCTTCAGAGCACTTGAGGGGATTCATTAGTGATTGACGTGGTAGAAAGGCATCTCTGAACTGTGGAAAGAGCTGACCCATGAGTTGGGAGATCAGAATTCAGATTAGCTCTTCAAGCACATACTGGACATGGTACCTTGGACAAGTCCTTACTCCCTGAGCCTCAGTTCTCTCACCTATGAAATGAGATACAGATCTCCATCCTTCCCTGCTTTGGGTTTGTTGGGCGGCCTAATAAGAAAACAGGGTTGAAAGCACCTTATAAAAGTGATAAAGTCCTCTATAAATTTTGAGATTAAGACGATATAGGGTTCACTTAACCCTGTACAGAGCCTGTTGCTGTTACCATTTTTTTAAAGGAAGGCCACATAATATAGTGGAAGTTGCTTAGGCTTGGAAGTTATATACTCCTGAGTTCAGGTCTCCGCTTGACCACTGACCAGTTTTGCAGCCTGAGGCAAGTTCTCTAATCTCCCTGAGCCTCAGTTTCCTCATCTGTAAACAGGGAAAATGGTCCCTGCCCCACAGGTTTGTTTTGAGACTTGAATGAGATAATATAAAGTACCTGTAGTGGTAGTTAATGATTGTATTCGTAGTTATAAACAGCAGCATGGAGCAATCACCTTGTTAAGTGTTAGAAAAGAGCCCAACTCTCCCCTACTCACAAACTCTGCCTCTTGGGGAGGAAGGAGGCCAGGGTCCTGCCTCCCCAGTGGGCACTCATAACAGGGAAGATGCTTTGCTACAGAAGCATAGGGCTTAGCACCCAGGCTGCGGTAAGTGTCGGCTTTCAGGCTGAGCAGACTGAGAAGGCCAGGAGCCAGCACATGAGAAGAGGGCCTAGGAGCTGACAGGATTCCTGAGAGAGGCTGAGAGAGAGCAGTCAGGTGGGAATTTACAGTAGTACGTTCAACTAATGGCAAGCCAGGATTTGAAGCCAGGAATGTCTGACTCTAAAGGTATGAAAAAAACTTCTGATATTTGTGTTTCTTATTCACACTCCCTGAAACCAGTACCCTCGTATTACAGAGGGGGAAGTGGAAGCCAAGTAGCTAGCCACAGGATCAAATCCAGGTTTCCTGAAACCCAGCAGCATTCTTGCCTCAGAGTAACCAGAACTCCTCCCAGGGAAGGCTGAAATAGGAAAAATGGCTGGTTGCATGTTGGCCTCCTCTCCACCCTCCCTACACTCCTGTGGTCCAGGCATACTCAGAAGCCTGATGGCTAGGTGTTCTCCCCTAGAGTGACTGCACCAAGCTGTTCAGCCAGGGCATTGGAGGGGAGCAGGCCCAGGCCAAGTTTGACAGCTGCCTTTCTGACTTGGCTGCAGTGTCCAACAAATTCCGAGACCTCTTACAGGTAAGCCCCAGGTTTAACTGCCGATTGAATCCTGAGAATATTGTTACTGGCTTATTAGGGGCTCTGTGCATATAACGAAATGGGGAAGGAGGTGTGAGGGAGTAGAGTGCAACCCACTGAACTTGTGCAAGTCCCTTGAAGACTAAAGGCTTTTCAGCAGTGCACCTGTCAAGCCAGCATTCTGGTCCTCTAGAATCTCCACTTGGCCCCCACAGTGCCAAGAGCCCTCAGAAAGGTGCTTGGAGGAAACAACCACGTGATTACTCAGATCTGCTTGGCTTTAGCCAGAGGTGCTGCCAGGCACTCAGAAATCTCTTCTTTTGAGAGTTTACCAGACCAACCACACCGCCTTGTATCTGGCCTAGACCTGAATTGGCACATATCTGGAAAGGAACAGGTTGTTCCTAGCCTCTTTGATTGGCATTATCTCTATTAGACTTCAGATAGGGCTGCAGAAAAGCCTCAGAGCTGAAAGAATGTCTGACAGTCAAAGGATGGATGGGGCAGGAGAAGGGAAGGGATGGGGGCATACACCTTCTGTGTCTGATGTGTCTCTGCCTTGTCCTCCAGGAAGGGCTGACAGAACTAAACAGCACAGCCATCAAGCCACAGGTGCAGCCTTGGATCAACACCTTTCTGTCTGTCTCCCACAACATCGAGGAGGTCAGACTGACCATGGGCAGCCATCAAGGCCAGGATTACCTCTCATTTCCCAGCCCTTTGCTGTAGGGCAGTGGAGCAGTCTGAATGGACTAGACGTTACATATTTCTCAGGCCCACTTCCCTCACCTTCGAAGACTAGGTTCCTCCCAGAAACAGGTTGTTCCTGCAGTCAGGGCTCCAAAAGACATCTGAAGGGAGTTTGCCTTGAACTGACACATTCTCTTTCATTGAGGCCCTTTTTGCCCCACCTCTCATAGACTTAGGAGCCTTTTTTTGTAGCCTAATCATTTCATTCCTGTGGAACATGAGATTCAAGAGAGAATAAACTGCGAGGAGCTTTACCCTATTGTGTGGGCCACTGCTGCAGTCCAGCGCCATTTTCTGGTCAGAAGTGTGATACAGAAACAGCAGCAGTTTCTACCAGCCTGGTTTTAAGCTGGTTTTAGGCTGGATGAGTCATAAGCTACAGGAGCTGTTTTCTTAGAGGAGTGGGAGTGGGGTGGGGGTGAATGGTATTTCTTGGAGAAGCCCCCAGTGACCTAACCCACCTTGCTTTCTGACATTAGGAAGAATTCAATGACTATGAGGCCAATGACCCTTGGGTACAACAGTTCATCCTTAATCTAGAGCAGCAAATGGCAGAGTTCAAGGTGAGCAGGGGATCTTGGGACTAGCTTATAGAATTACCCACCTCTTCCCAAACCAGCAGCCTGAGGCTTCTCATCACACTCCTACTGGGAACGCTGGAAACCCTTCCAATCTCAGCCTATAGAAATAGTCCCACAGATTCCTGTGGAGGCAGAGGGGTGAGGTGGGACTCCTGCTGATGTCTAACCTCTGTGTGCAGGCCGGCCTGTCCCCAGTCATTTATGACAGCCTGACCAGCCTCATGACCAGCCTTGTTGCAGTTGAGTTGGAGAAAGTTGTGCTGAAGTCCACCTTCAACCGGGTAACGTCAAGGGAGCACAGGTCCCTGCTCTGTTGTTTCCCTTCTAAGAAAGACAAGTCTGTACCCTCTGTCTGCTACCCCTATCTTGGCTTAGTCCTGCCCTGAGGCAGTGGAGCCAACTGAGGCACCAGCTGGCCTTGCAGCCTGGCACTGAGCAAAACTGGGGGCCCGTTCTGCTTGGCCAGAAGGCCAGGCCTTGAACAGTGACTGGGTTCGTGTTCCCCTGCAGCTGGGTGGTCTTCAGTTTGACAAGGAGCTGAGGTCACTCATTGCCTACCTTACCACGGTGACCACCTGGACCATCCGAGACAAGTTTGCTCGGCTCTCCCAGATGGCCACAATCCTCAATCTGGAGCGGGTATGTAGAGCTCCCTTGGCCTTGACAGGGAAAGGTGACTGGGAAGAGAGGCAGAGACAAAATTTGCATCCCTGCCACTCCCTCAAAACCAAACTCCACCAGAAGCCCAGTCCTGCAGGCCACCTTCTTCTTGGGCATCCCTGCTCTGCCTCTGGTAGAGGCCAAGGCCTTATCTCAAGATAACCCTTCCTTGCTCATCTCTGTTCTTCCCCACAGGTGACCGAGATCCTAGATTACTGGGGCGCCAACTCTGGCCCACTGACGTGGCGCCTCACTCCTGCTGAAGTACGCCAGGTGCTGGCTCTGCGCATAGACTTCCGCAGTGAGGACATCAAGAGGCTGCGCCTGTAGCTGCCAGGGTGAGCCCAACTGGCCCATCACACTTCAGGGCCCATTCTCTTAAGTGGCCACAGCCCAGAAGCTGAGCAAGTCTATCTGGCTTGGGGGAATTCTTCACAGCCCAGACGATTCCACTACTGGCAGCAGGGAAACAAGACCTTGATTCAGGCCATTCTCTGTAAATAGACCTGTCTGGGTGGTGATTTGGGGACAGTCTCTCCCCACCAAGAGAGGTAGGTCCCCATTGGCTCCTAGTTAGGTGGGAAAGCCAAGGCAGGCCAGCCTTCTGCATGGGTGGTCATTCTTTCGTCCTTGGATGTTGTCGCAAATGAGCTGCCTCTCTGTCAGTCCTAAAGGACTCGGATTTATCTAGGGACTTAAAGAATTAGGTTTACTCCAAGGAGAGGCTGTGATGTTTATGATCACCCTGAATAAAGACACTCCTTGGAGATATGCCAGTGTGCTATTTCTAGGAAGGGCTGGATGCTCCAGGGCAAGACAGGTCCACCAGATGCACTGAAATTTGAAGGCAAAAGCCTAAATCCTCAACCTCCTCCCATACCCAGAGTAGCACATGGCTACCACCATGACCCAAATAATACCAGGTGCCTTATCCAATCCCAGATCCTCATCCCCTCTTGGGCCCTCAGCACCAGAAGCTGGGATCATCGCAGGGGCAGTTTCCCACGGTGCCAGGTAAATGGGAATTGTTCCCAGCAGGAACATAGAAAAACTATGAGGATAACCTTAAAGGGCAGAGTGAGTTTATTCCAAAAATACTGCAGTCCTGAAAACCCAAGGCTCACAGGCACTGGGTCATGTGGCATAGTCCATGGTGTTGCTGGTTAAGGCCTCAATTAGTAGTGACTTGCTGCAGGACCACACTGGCTATCTGCCACAAACATGAGTATGGACCCTCATCCCTGTTCCCACTCCCCTGTCAAGTCAGCCTGGGAGTGAGTGTTGAACAGGAAGTCTCTACTCAGGCAAAAAAATAAAGCTTGACCTCTGAGGAAGGCCACAGGAAATGCCTCTTCAGGGTCAGCCTCAGGAAGGGACCCCAGCCATCTGCTAAGGCTGGCTGTCATCCCCTTCCAGGCCCTCGTGGAGAGTGAGTAGGCCAAGTCCCAAGCTGGGCCATTGGACTTGTAAAGGCCACAGGGGATGCTAAGCTTAGGACCTTCCCATGTCCATGTGGAGCAGAGACTAAGTCTAAGCCTCTGTCAACCTGGAGGTCACAGTCCTGTTCCCAAGCACCATCTCTGCTTCACCAAGTTTTAGAAAGGGCTGGGCCTGAACTTAGGACAGCTTCCTTTGGGCAGATTCACAAAAAAAGTAGATGAAGAGTAGAAAGCTGAGTGCTCCCATGGGGGAAGGAAGAGGGGCTTCTATGGCTCCAGGCTTTCTCCTCTTGCAGAGGGACAAACCGTTATGGGAAGGGGCATTAGGTTGAGGTCTCAGTCCCCAGTAGCTTCAGGCTCAGGCCCTGAGTGTCCACTTCTACCAGGTGGACACTGTAGTTCCCAAGGCCCTAGGAGCAAAGGGAAGGAGGTTATTAGAGGGCTCTGGGCAGATTTCAGATCATTAGTAGGTTGGACTGGGGCTGCAGGGTCAGGGGGACCTACAGCTATAGCCCCTGGTTGGCTAGTGGGCCACAGTGAGGGCTCCTGTCCCCCACCAGTTACCATATGCCAACCATACCATACCTCAGTCTTGGCCAGCACAGCTTCCAAAGCCTCCTTTTGCCGTGGCTCCTTGGTCAGTAGATAGAGAAAGCCCCCGCCACCTGCCCCTGCCAGGCTCTGGCCATGCACGTGGGGGGCCAAGACATCCATCATATGCCGCACAGCCAGTGGTTCACAACCTGGAGCCATGAGCTTCTTTTGCTCCCAGTATGACGTTAGGCACTGGCCCAGCAGAGGCAGGCTGCCTGGGGTGGGGACAGAAAAGGAAGTTGCGTGCCTGAGCCAGGATACCACTCAATGCCTGTTTGTAGACTGAATGGGGTGCCAAGAGGTACTACTTAACCAGTGTCATGGTTAAGAACCTGGACCCAGTTACTAGCTGGAAACAGGAGTGATAATACCCACCCACAGGGTTGTTTGAGGACTAATGAGCATAGAGCAGCTGGCATGGTACCCAGCATACTGTTCAGTGAACTTTGGAGCCCTAATCAATTCTGACTCCCTAGAACTTGGCTGTGGAGCCAAGCCTCTTCTCCCATCTGCTTCCTGGTATGTGGGACTGGAGGCCTTCCTCAAGATGTAAGTATTGTCCTGAGATAAGACTTCCACCTAAGTGTGAGACCCTGCAGAGGATAAATAGTAGGCTTCTGTCCGCAGGGGCCTCATGCCTGGGGCTGGTGCCCAGCCTGCAGAGGCCCCTAGCCTCAGACCCACAGGCAACAGGCATTTACCCCTGGTGCTTGAGTCCAAGGAAAAAGTGCCTCACCTTGGCGGAAGGCTTCAGCACAGGCCTCAGTGTGCTGCACCAGGTTGTGGGCATTCTGCACGACATCAGGCAGCCGGGCATACCAGCTCCTCAGTACATCCTACAGATGGGGCAGAAGGCATGCAGAGAGTCTCAGCCCAGCTGAGCCGTCTGCCTTCCTCCCTCTTTCTGGGGCCAGGGCTCACCTGCAACAGATTCCGGGCCAGGCGGGTCTTGCCAGTGTACACCAGGAGCAGGTGGTCATTGAGCTTCTGTACAAAACTCGCAGGCACAGTGATCTCTTCCACCTCTACCTTCAGTGGCAGCTGAGCCCGGGAGCGTCCCACCTTGATACCAGGCATAAGGCCACCCACTTGGTCCTGCCAGCCACCTCCTACAAGAGCCCGGGCCCCATCACTGTTGTTTCCCTTCTATCCCAACTTCCCACTCCCATTCTAGGCTCTTGGCTCTGCTTCTCTGGCAGGGACCAGCATGGGAAGACAGCGTCCCACAACTTCAGCTGGGAAGTGTGCAGCTTTGCAGTGAGCTGTGCAGTGAGCTGTGCAGCTTCTGCCCCAGCCCTCGGATCAAGATGAACCCAGCAAGGAAAGGGGCTTCATTCTGGAGCCAAGCTTAGAATACACAAGGCCCAAGTTTTGTTGCAGAACTAATGTGTGATTGGAATTGGGGTAAAGCACATCAAAGGATAAAACCTTAGACTAACCTTTCCTCCTGAGGAGGCATGGTATAGGACTTCTCTTACAGACTAACGGTCCCTGCACCCTGTCTTTCCTGATAAAGGGTGTTGATTTAGAAATAAGCTTTTCAGCATCTGTTACTGAAACTAAAATAGCTTGTTCACATTTTGCCTTAGTAATGAAAGGTATGGATCTCTTTTCTTCTTGCAGCTATATAAAAATGACAAAACTTGAGATAATTCTGGGATAGGCCCTTGATATTTTGGGAAGGGCCTACAAGGATTTCAAGTATAAAATGCAATGGCAGGAGGCATCTGGAACCTTACAACCAAAATATGGTAGGTAGTGTCAGGCCTGGATTGTCAAGAACTCCCTAATTGCACCCTACTCCTTCAGAGCACTTAGCACAGCTTGTAATTATACATTCATTTGAGTGGTTATTGATTAATATCTGTCTTCAATAGACCATATGGTAGCAAGGACCCTGTTTTTGCTCATTTTATCCCCAGGGCCCAATAAAGAGTAGATATTTGATAGATAGTTGTCATTTGACCAAATGAAGGATATGAATGGTACACCTCAAAAGAAAACTGAAAAGGCTTACCCATCTGCCCCTTTTGATGACTACCTATTATCGGATGTGATAGTACAATAAAAAGAGGAAGCTAGGCTACAAAGTGGCCAGAGAAGATACCATAATCAGGCATCTATATGTCTTTGTGGCAGTTTCCTTCCCAGAGTCGTGCTAGAGATAAGGCCTGGCATCCTGAGGTGACCAGAGCACTCTAAAGCCAAACCTCTGACTGCTCTCCATTGTGTGTGGATTCTAAAGGGCCACAGTGGTGAGTAGGAGAAAGAAAAAGCCTGGTGCTAATGACATTCTGTATGATCACAGCCATGCACTGGGTGCCTCCCAAAGAAGGTGGGGGAAGTGGGGCACAAATAACCATAGGAGGGGCAAGTTGTCAAAGGTCCTCATTCCTAACCCAGCCCCACCCTGAGGGACAGCCCGGGATGGGAGCAGAGACATGAAGAACAGCACGTGGTATTAACAGGTACCTAGCACACGTGAAAGGTGCAGCACAGAATCTGGCACTTAGTAGGTGCTCCTACATCAAGTCCTTTGAGATAGAAATATTTCATGTTGAAAATCAGAGCGAGAGAGACAGAGTGATAAGAAGGAAGCTCTAAACATTTTAAGGAGCAGCATAGTTCTCTAGCTGTCTGCAAGTCCAGGAGAGCCCCCAGAGGCCCTCGAAAAGTGCTTGTGACCTCCCTCCTGCCCATACCTGTGGTGAGAACCTGCTCCAGGTGTAGCACTGCGTGGATCAGGGCCTCCGTCCCCACCGCCCGGCCCGCAGCCCGCTGCAAGGCAGCCAGGGCAGCCCCTGCCAGGATACTGCTAGTGCCTGCGAGGTTCAGAGGAGGGTACCAGGCATGAAGCAGGTCTGTCCAGCCAGTCCTGCACCGCCCACTCCCTCTCCACCAGGCAGAGGCCAGGGAGGAGATCAGAGGTGAAGCTGAAGTGGGGAATGGAGTCGATGGGCAGCAGGGGTACAGAGCCTGCTCACCAAGGCCAGAGCCATGGGGCAGCTCAGACCAGGTGTGCAGCTCAAAGCCACCCCCGAAGGTGCACAGCAGCTGCTCACTCAGCGGGAGCTTGGAGTGGATGCTCACGATTCCCGCGCAGATGAAGGCTGCCTTCAACAGAGCACCTGCAGAATGAGCAGCACACAGCAAGGAATTTGGTGTCCAAGGGTAGAAACAGACACCCCACCCCACACTTAGGCTGGCCTGGGACTCATCTAGGGGATAAATGCCCAGCAGCAGTGCAGACCCCATCCCAAGCCACAAAATGTCCTCTAAGCTCCCCAGCACCAGCAGATGTGCCAGCTCTACATCCTTCACCTGCCCTCACCTGGGTGGGTGACCTCAGGGCTCATCCGCCAGACTGGCTTACCCTCAGGCCAGGCCCCCCGTGGTCTGCACGGTCTCTAGGGTTCTGCCCCCATCCCCCAGCTGGCTGGGTGTGCCATCCCCACCTGCACATGTCATTGGTGCCCTGACCTGGGGCATGGGGTTGGCAATAATCCTGCAAGTCATCCAGGCTCCAGCACACTATCTTCATGGCCATTTTGTCCTGCTGAGGTCCCACTGCCAGCCGCAGCTCAGGCTCTGGGATGCGGCGTGCCCTGGCCCCAATGGGCCGGCGGCCATCCACTCGCACAGCCAGGCCCAGCACTGCCCCACCAAGCTCATAGGCAAGGGGCGGTGTGTCACTCCAGCCCCCTGTGGCAGTTGAACAAGACCAAGCTGGTTACAGGG